ACACGAGGTGCAGGCAGCGCTGGTGGCCCTGCTGGAGCAGGAGGAACAATGACCCTTCCACGGCATCTCTCTTCTGTCTGATCGGAGTCCCTTCCCGTAGGGCTGCTCATCACGGTCGTCTGGGAGCGGGTTTCACGCGTGCCTTCTCGCCTGTCGCAGCCTGAGGGAAGTAAAGGACTGAGCTGGGGAGAAACCGCGGGATAAATCCAGTGCTGGAGCACTCGTGGACCTGTGACTGCTTCTCGCCTTTCGCTCTCTGTCTTTCATGAATGTATTTCTTTGAAAGGCAGAGAGACAGAGGCGGAGATCTTCAGTGTACTCGTTCACTCCCTGAATGTCTGTAACGCCCAGCACCGGGCCTGACCAAAGCCGGAACCCAGGAGTTCGATCAGGGTCTCTGTGTCAGTGGCAGGGCTCCGCATGCTTGAGCTGGCGCCTGCTGCCTCCCAGAGAAACATAAGCAGGAAGCTGGCTGGAGGCAGGAGCACAGCCAGGGCTCTAACCAGGCCTTCCAGGAGATGCAGGCCCCCACGTGCACTGTCTTACCTGCTGCACCAAGCGCCTGCCCCTTCTCACCTCCTCTTAGACCCCAGGTGGGGAGCAAACTTAAGGGAGTGTGTGCGAGAGTTCCACACTCCTTTCTTTGTGTTTTTTTTTTTTTTTTTGAATATTTATTTATGTATTTAAAAGAGTTACACAGAGAGAGGAGAGGCAGAGAGAGAGAGAAGTCTTCCATCCGATGGTTCACTCCTCATTGGCCGCAGCGGCCGGAGCTGGGCTGATCCGAAGCCAGAAGCCAGGAGCTTCTTCCGGGTCTCCCACGTGGGTGCATGGCCCCAAGGACTTGGGCCATCTTCTACTGCTTTCCCAGGCCATAGCAGAGAGCTGGATCGGAAGTGGAGCAGTTGGATCTCAAACCAGCGCCCATGTGGGATGCCGGTGCTTCAGGCCAGGGTGCTAACCCGCTGCGCCACAGCGCCGGCCCTGCACACTCCTTTCTACAGACTTTGTCCTCCTGGACCTCTCAGATGTTAGCAGAATGGTAGTTCATGAGCCGCTGTGTGCTCTTCCTCTGTTCTCACTCTGCTTCTTCCCTTCTTGTTTTAAAATTTTTTAAATATTTATTTATTTATTTATTAGAAAGAATTACAGAGTGATGGAGAGAGAGGAAGAGGTCTTCCGTCGACTGGTTCACCCCCCACCCCCAAGTGGCTGCAACAGCCAGGGCAGAGCCAGGCAGGTGCCAGGATCTTCATCTGGGTCTCAAGCACCTGGGCTATCTTCCGCACTGGTTTTCGCCATTAGCAGGGCACTGGATTGGCAGTGGGGCAGCCGGGTCTTGAACCGGCGCCCATATGGGATGTTGGCACTGCAGGTGGTGGCTTTACCCACTGTGCCACAGCGGCGGCCCCAGTCCAGGTTTCTCAAGTGGGTGTCAAGGACCTGACTACCTGAGCCATCACCTCTGCCTCCCAGAGGGCACAGTATCAAGAAAGCGAATTCAGGACGGAGCCCGGCCTCACACTCAGGCGCTTTCATAAGGGATGCAGGCGTCCAGGTGCACCTTCTGGAAATCCACGTTGAGTTCTCTAGTCCCCAGCACTGAGTCCCTCGCGTGGGCCATCCTGCAGGAAGATGGGGTGGCCTGGCAACCTTGAAGTTGCCGAGTATCAAGTGTCAGATTTGGTAGCTCGTTTGTTATCAGAGGACTCCATTCTGCTTAACCAAAGCCGACTGCTGACTTTGCAGCTCATCAGACTTTGGTTTAACTTAACAGATAAATGTAATGCTTGCTTGACAGTTCCAGAAACTGGCCTTGACAGAGCCGGCTGAAGTTGCAAAGTAATCTGGCTTGCTTCGGCCAGATGACCACATATACGTCTGTGGGCGGAAAGTAAGCCCTGTGACTCTGCCAGCCCCCGATCGCCTGGCCAGAGGCCAGTGTGTGGCTGGCCCTTTCCTCCGTTCCCCTTGTTCCTGACTTCTGCTTCCTTCAAAAGCTGTCCTGCTACTCTAAGGATTGTTGATGTCTAGGTGGAGACCGTCCCTGAGGCTGGGTGTCTGTGGGCCCCTCAGACGTTGGTAGAATGTCATGCAAATAGGCTGCAGGCTGTGACTGGTAGGCTTGCTTCGAGACCCGCCGGCATCTACCCGCACCATAGCTTCCTGTTCTGTATGTGGGAGCCTGTGGTTTTAACCACAGCTTCAAGTTAGTTGCAATCTTCCATCCAGAACTGGCAGAGGAGGGGGGCTGAGCCCCCTACAGGGAAATCGGGCTGTCTCCAAGAGACCCCCCACTATCTCCATGGGCCCCGAGCCAATGAACTTACAGTATGTGAAACCCCTGTGCAGTGGGCACCCCCCTAGAATGACCCAGTGAACAGTAAAGCCTTAACAACCCGTGCACTTCCTGAAAACCAGCGTCCCGCTCGCGGCTCTCCGTCCCAGCTCCTCTCAGACGAGACGCTCTTTCTGTCGCCATGCAAAACAGAAAATAAAGTTTCCACTTTGCAAATTGTTTCCCATCAAATCACCCATCAAACGCACTCCGGTAACCACCCTCCCCTCCGCGCCCGGTGACATTGGTGACAGTGATGTCTGCCTTCTCCTTGGACTGCTGGCTTCTAGAGTAAGCCTGATTTCCCAGCATCAGCTCTTGTCTCTCGGGTGTTGACCTTTGAACAACGAGCAGCCTGACCTACAGGCAGACGTCAGGGCTGAGCTGGGACAGCGGGCACTTGGGACTGCCTCTCCCTGATGGCTGTGCTGTCCTGCAGCCCCTGAGCCCCAGGCAGGCCTCCTGGCATCTTTCCTTGGCACTTCACAAGCTCCCAGTGATGTAGGCAAATCAAAAAATCCAGAGCCAAGTCATCTACATGTGAGTCAAAATGGAAATTTTATTTTTATTAAAGATTTATTTATCTGAAAGAATTACAGAGATCTTCCATCCACTGCTTCATTTCCCAAATGACTGCAACTGTCAGAGCCGGGAGCCAGGAGCTTCATCCGGGTCTCCCACATGGCTGCGGGGGCCCAAGCACTTGGGCCATCCTCTGCTGCTTTCCCAGGTGCACTAGCAGGGAGCTGGATTGGAAGTGGGGCAGCTGGGACTCAAACTGGCACCCATGTGGGATGCTGGCACAGAAAGTGGTGGCTGTACCTGCTACGCCACAGTGCCGGCCCCTGGGTGCAGCTTCTTTAGGGACCTCTGCCTCCCCACTGTCTCTGTGTCACAAGCAACCGCCACTATTTGGTGCCACCCCAAATGACCAGCAGGACACCTGTGTCCACTAACACGGTGTGTGAGCACTGGCCTTCACGATGGACTTCAGGTAGGTGGCTCCCTGTGTCTAGGCCTATATGAGAAAGCTTTAACGTAGAATTTTAGTTGGGGGCTTTATATCCCCAAAGATACGACAGTGCCTCCTTGGGGTGAAGCAGAATATGCGCCTTTCAGCCATTTTATAAGGAAAATAGCTTTTAAAAATTCAGCAATTTTATTTTTTGCCACCGTCATGGTCTTGGCAAATTGCAGCGCATTTAACACCTTTCTCTGCAAGCTTCTGCAGCTACAAGCTCCGATAACACGTCATTCCACTCGGGAGTGCAAACGGCCATCACCAGAAAGTGGATTTTGTGTGTGAGACGGTAAGTTAAATACAGGATTTCCCTCTTTCTCCCCAGGACTGATGTTTCAATGGAAAGCTTTACCCCGCCCAAATACATCTTTCTATAAAAAGCGCCATTGGGCTGGCGCCGCGGCTCACTAGGCTAATCCTCCGCCTGCGGCGCCGGCACCTCGGATTCTAGTCCTGGTCGGGACACCGGATTCTGTCCCAGTTGCTCCTCTTCCAGTCCAGCTCTCTGCTGTGGCCCAGGAAGGCAGTGGAGGATAGCCCAAGTGCTTGGACCCTGCACCTGCATGGGAGACCAGGAGAAGCACCTGGCTCCTGGTTTCAGATCAGCGCGGTGCGCCAGCCGTAGTGGCCATTGGAGGGTGAACCAATGGCAAAGGAAGACCTTTCCCTCTGTCTCTCTCGCTGTCCACTCTGCCTGTCAAAAAATTAAAAAAAAAAAAAAAAAGAGCCATTGGATTTTATTTACTGTGGGCATTTCTCAACCATTTATATGCTTTGTGATTTTTTTTTTTTTTTTGAGATCTTTATTTATTTGAATGGCAGAGGGAAAGAAAAAGAGGAGGAGAGAGAGAGCTTCCATCTGCTGGTTCACTCCCCAAATGGCTGCAACAGCAGGGCTGGGCCAGGCCGAAGTCAGGAGCTCCACTAGGGTCTCCGAAACCAAGGGACTGCAAAGCATCTCAAGAAGGGGCATTTTTGAAAACGCATTTTTATTTATGAGAGGCAGAGAGAGGTCTTCCATGGTCCATGCAGTGGTTCACTCCCCAAATGTCCAACACTGGCTGGGGCTGGGACAGGCAGTACTTGAGTTATCTGCTGCTTCCCAGGGTGCACATTAGCAGGAAGCTGGAACCGCTGCGGAGCTGGGGCTTGAACCCAGGCACTCCGACGTGGGATCGCATCACCACCGCTGCACCCCGGTCACCTGCCCGTGTCCACGTCATCCTGAAGAATGGACAAATGTGAGCCGTCCTCCGCATCTGGCCACACAAGACAAGCTGAGTGGACCCGCTGGTCTGTGGGTGGAGGGGTGAAGCTCGCGAAGGAGGCGGCAGCAGTAAAGGAACAAGGAGCTGTGGGTGGGGGGAGCCGGCGGGAAGCGGGAGGCCTACGTGCCCCGTGACGCACCCCAGAGGGGCCCGGCACCTCGCGCTCAGCCCCGGTCGACCCCCGCTGCAGCTCGGCCAAGATGGCCCCGGCCGGTGCCCTGGCGGGGTGTGGCTCCCGGAGGCCCCGCCCCCCACAACGCTCCTCCGCCAGGGACCGCCCCCGTGTCCATGGCGACGGCGGCGGCGGCGGCTGCTGTCGTGCCGACGGAGGGGCGGCCGCCGCCGCCGCCGGGAGCTACGCGCGACCCCTGAGGGGGAGCGGGCTCCCCCCTCGCGACCGGAGGGGACAGGCGGTCCTGCGGCACGGCGAGGCGGCCCCGGAAGCCGGGCAGCACCCAGGAAGAGCTGGAGCTGTCGGAGGGTGGACATGAGCGACCCTCGGAGTCCAGCCCCGGGCTCCTAGGGGCGGACCCAGCAGCCCCTCAGCTCTCCTGGGAACCTGGAGTGGACGGCGTCCGCTGTGGGCTCTCCCCGCCGCCCTCAGAGCCCAAGGGGTCTCCTCCGCCATCCAGCCCTGGCCCCAGTGTGTAAAACATAAGAGAAGCCTGGGACAGGGAAATCAGGGAAATGGGCCTGCCTAGGAGACCTTGGGTATCTGGTTGTCTTAATAGCAGATTTTCCCCAGCCTAACCCCCGCAAACAAAGCCATGGTCATGGCCCTGCTGTCTCTGTCCAAACCTGCGTGCGCCGCGATGTTGTATGAGCCAGTGCGGTCCGGGACGGCTCCGTAGCCCCGGGCATCCCCCGCCCCTGCAGCCACACTGACCGTCAAGGTCCTGGGAGGGGGGGGGTGGACTCCCCGCGGGAGGTCTGCCGGGTCATTCATCCCCACCTCCTCCCGCAGTGCCTGGGAGGATGGAGCCCAGCACCTGTAAGAGCAGCGGCTCAGAAGAGGACGAGGGCCTCCAGGAGGAGTGTGTTGAAGGGGAAGCTCCCGCTCCGTCTAACCCTTCACCGCAGGCACCCCTAAAGGATGAATGTAAGGCATTTGAGAATGGGATTCCCTTATCCATTGTAGCCAAGAAAATTCCAAAGAAAATCATAGCCCCAACCGATGACTTAGAAGCTGGGAGGAGAAAGAGAAGGCGGAAACACAGGTAACCTCTCCCAGGACCCCTCGCCCCTGGCCGTCCCTTCAGCCTTCCACGGGCCGGGGTCTCCGGTCCTCCTGGTAGCCTTCGCAGCGGGGAAAGAGCTGGTGCGACAGAAGCAAAACCTGGAACCACTCTTGGGCTGGCTGCACCTGGAATGCCAGCCCGCCTGTGTCCCCCTAGCTGTGACTCTGCGAGCTCTCCCTGGGGTGCCTGGCAGCCCGGGGTCCGTGTGTGTCTCCCACTCTGCCTGGTTTTCTTTCAGACTCCTGGCCATCAATCTGACCAGCTGCAAGTATGAGAGTGGTGAGTGAGAGCCCAGCTCCTCACACGGGGGGACACCTGCCCTTGCTGCTCCCATCGTGGGAGGGCCACAGTTGGTAACCAGGAAGGCAAATGGCCGAGAGTCACTACTGCCCCCTTTCCCGATTTTACCAGGGATGAGAAAAAGTTAAAACAGTTTTTTAAAGGATTTAAAAAAAAAAAAAAAGATGTATTTGGAAGGCAGAGTGAGAGAGAGAGAATCTTCTATCCACTGGTACGCTCCCCAAATGGCCACAACAATCAGGACTGGGCCAGGCTGAAGCCAGGAGCCTGGAACTCCATCCGTGTCTCCCACGTGGGCCCCACGCACTTAGGTGGTCTTCTGCTGCCTTCCCAGGTGCATTAACGGAGCCGGATAGGAAGTGGAGCAGCCGGGACTCGAACCGGCACTCAAATGAAACACTGGTGTCGCAGGGGGCAGTGTAACTCTGCCAGCCCCTTTTAAGGAAACTTTGAAGGGGCTTCAGTTGTTAAAAAGTAAACAAAAAACTTCCCAGCTAGGTTAGCAATCTTCCCCTTCCTGTCCCCACCGGCATCCGTGCAAGGGCCCCTGGCACCAGAGGACAGACAGGAGCCGAGACCCTGTTTCCAGCTCTCTCTGCCCCGTGCTTTGGAAGGGCCCTGGCAGCCTCCCGATCTTGGAGCTGCCCCGAGGTGGGGTGGTCCTGACCCATCCCAGCTGCGGTTCTAGGGCTTGTGGCTGCCTGCCCTGACCTTGCTGTCTCCGCAGTGCGACGGGCAGCCCAAGTGTGTGGCCTGAAGGAGGTGGGGGAGGAGGAAGAGTGGACTGTGTACTGGACAGACTGCTCCGTGTCGCTGGAACGAGTCATGGAAATGAAGAGGTTCCAGGTACCAACATCCAGGGGGCACCCGAGGCTGCCGCTCTGTGACTGAGTCCCTGTGCAGGCGGGGAAGGCCACACCCTAGGGGCCCCTGTTCCACTTGGGTCCGGGGCACATCTATTTCCTGAAGGAAGCGTCCGGTGTGCATCGTGTGCTCTGCCTGGTGGCACCTGTGGCGGATGAGCTGGACCTGGGGAGCAGCCTGGGAGGCAGCTTCCTTGAAAGTCCGGGTGGAATTCTGCCGGGCAGCGAGGAAGATGGGCCAGGATCCGCGAGAGGAATGTGACGGCCTCATTGTTTTGTTTTAATTCTCAAATTGGGTTTTGTGGTGCTATTAGCAATTGAGATGGCCACACGTGGCTGGGTGACAGGGATTTGTGCTGAGCCCCCTGGTGGAGATCCCTGGAGGTGCAGACGTCAGGATGCGCTTACCTGAACTAGGACGGCTAAGATGGCACAGGACTTGATCACCCCAAGGGCCTCTGCTCGATCTGTGGTCTGCCATTGCCCCAGGTGTTGTGACACAACATAGGGCTGGAATTTCAAAGGCTCTGCAGGCTGATCTGGGGGTAGGGGAGAGCCAGGAGGGCTCCCAGAGATAGTCTTAGCAGAGGAGCCCCAAAGAGGGTAGGAGGTGGAGCGGCTACAGACGGCCAGGCCAACAGCTGTGAGCTGGGAAGGCTGGGGCTTCCTGTGCACCAGGCTAAGTGCTTTCACACCGCCTCGCTTCACCAACAGCCCCAAGAGGCGGGTGTCCCTTGAAGAAGAGGACCCCAGGCCCAGAGAGACCAGGTACACCCAGGTGGTAACGAGAAGGGCCGTAAGCAGCACTCCACCTTAGCCCAGGGCTGGTGCTGCTGGTCAGAGCGGCCAGGGGTTCCAGCAGGCGCCCCGGCAATGCCGTGTCCTCCAGGGGCTGTGGCGGCAGTCCTGGGGCTGCTGGCCACAGTCCTTTGAAAAATGTTGTCATCTTACACACCTTGGGCTGATTTGCACCCCTGATGCTTCTGGGACCTGTCCTGGTGTCCAGCGGGAAGTTACAAGGTGGCTCCGAGGTCAAAATTCTGGCTCCTGGATGCTCTTCCTCCCGCCTCTCACTTCTTACCCTAAGCGTGGCTGTGTCAGGAGGAGGCCAAGGAGAGGTTCCTCTCCGGCCTCAGGGAAGCTTCCGGTTCTCCCTCTTACGGTGCTCAGTCTTGCTCCTGCTCTGAGGCTGCCCGAGCCCCCCAGGAACCGCCGCTTCTGCCGTAAACCCACCTGTGCCTCGTTTCAGAAAATCAACCACTTCCCCGGCATGACGGAAATCTGCCGCAAAGATCTGCTGGCTCGGAACCTCAACCGCATGCAGAAACTCTACCCCTCTGAGTACAGCATCTTCCCCCGCACCTGGTGCCTCCCAGCAGAGTGAGTGGAGCCCGGCTCCCCACCGACACCGCCCTCCGCTCCCTCCAGTGGCCTAGGAGTTGCTCGGTGGGGTGGCAGCGGGGCAAGGACAATTTCAGCTGGGTCAAAGGATGTGGGTCTGAGCCCGGGTGCTCCAGGACGAGCCCGGACTAGGTAGCAGAAAGCCGTCCCTGGGGGTGGGGGGACAGCCAGGCTGCAACCCTTGACCAGCCCCCTGCCCACATGTAGCTACGGGGACTTCCAGTCCTACGGCCGCCAGCGAAAGACGCGCACTTACATCTGCAAGCCCGACAGTGGCTGTCAGGGACGCGGCATCTTCATCACTCGAAATCCCCGGGACATCAAGCCGGGGGAGCACATGATTTGCCAGCAATACATCTCCAAGGTGAAAGGCGTCCCGCTCCCGGCCCTTGGGGGCGCCTCCCGTCTCCCACACCCCAGAGGAAGCGGTCGGAGGCTCCCACCATTTCTGCTGCCTGCACCCCCCCTCCTCCACCCCACCCCGCCACCGTGATCTTGGAGGCAGCATGGAACCAGCCCTGGGTTTGGATCTCCAATTTTCCATTTCTTAGATCATGTGGCCTTCAGTCAGGCTTCTTACCTTGCTATGCCTGTTTGTGTTATTTGTTAAATGAGCACAGCACAGCCACCGCTTGACATGGCTGTGAAAGTTACCACGAGTTGTTAGGTGTGTGAAGCGCTTAAAGCGGTGCGGGGCCCGCCTTGAGGAACGCGAAGGAGTCACCGTCACCCCCTCGCGGCCTTGCACGCTCTCAGCCCTTCCTCATCGACGGCTTCAAGTTCGACATGCGTGTCTACGTCCTGATCACATCCTGCGACCCCCTGCGGATCTTCATGTACGAGGAGGGCCTGGCCCGCTTTGCCACCATGCCCTACGTGGAGCCCAGCTCTAACAACCTGGTAAGGGGGCTGGGCGGCACCCCCGTCCCTCCCACTGCCACGGGAGCCCAAGCTCCAGGAATGTCCAAGGTAGAGAGGTTTGCCACTGACACCGGAGGACGAGGAAGGAAGGGAGGAGCCAGTGACAGCTGTGAGGAGAGCATTGTGGAGGGGTGGGGACTGAGGAAAAGTCACCCTCTGTGGAAGCCCAGCACAACCTCTTCTTTGAGGAGGGCAGTCCCCTGGTGGGGAGGGACAGGAGCGAGCAATTCTGAGGAGCAGGGGTGACAAACAGGCAACAAAGGGCCTGCGAGGAGGGCTGCGACGGTGGGGCTGCTCTTCCCAGGATGACGTCTGTATGCACCTGACCAACTATGCCATCAACAAGCACAATGAGAATTTTGTGCGGGATGATGCCGTGGGCAGTAAGAGGTACTCCCGACTCCGACTCCTTGGTTCCTGCCTCCTCTGCCCCTTAGCCGTACAGCCTCAGAAGCTCAGGAAAACTCTGCCTCCACAGCCCCTTGCCCCCTGCCTGAGCTCTTAAGTGCAGCCCCAAACCCCACCTGGTAGCTCATTCCCGCTCCCCGCTGCCAGAGGCCCCAAGGCAGCACTGGGTGCAGGCACAGAGTGTGGGTTAGTGCCCGAGAGCCTGCTGCCTGTGGCCAGGCCCTGCTGGCCTGTCGGGAGGTCTTCCTCTGAGCCCTGGGCCTCACAGGAAGCTGTCAACACTGAACACCTGGCTACGTGAGCACAGCTATGAGCCTCGAGAGCTGTGGGGGGACATTGAGGACATCATCATCAAAACCGTCATCTCGGCCCATTCTGTTCTCCGCCACAACTACCGAACCTGTTTCCCCCAATACCTGAGCGGAGGTACATGTGCTTGTTTTGAGATCCTTGGCTTTGACATCTTGCTGGACCACAAGCTAAAGCCCTGGCTGCTGGAGGTGAGGCTTCTCCTTGAACGGGACACCAGGTGGTGGCTCAGGCAGAACCGGGGGGCAGGGGGGTGGGGCGTGGAAGCCCTGGGGTGGGGCGGGAACCTGCAGCTGTGAGACGGCCACCCTTGGAAGCTGCTGAGTCAAACCCGTGTCACTTGTGTAAGCCGTGACTCTAAGACACCACTCTATCCAGAAGCCACACTGTCTGGTTTGCTCCTGCCAGCCTGTGACTTGGAGAGATCTCCGTCAGAGTCTTGTGGCCTGGGACGCCACGGCATCCGGCCTCCCTGGCCGAGGCCACGGCAGGGAAGGTCTCTCCTACCCCCTCCAGTGAGGCCCACAAGAGACCCACCTGCCAAGGCAACCATGTGTTTAAGCGGGTGATTTTGTGTGGGCCGTGAACGTCTGTAAACATCCCAGTGACCCTGGGCGGAGCAAGGCTCCCCCTCCCCACCCCACCCCCTGTAGGGAGCAGGTGGGTAACGAGTCCTCCCGGCAGGTAAACCACTCTCCCAGCTTCACCACGGACTCGCGCCTGGACCGCGAGGTGAAGGACGCGCTCCTCTGTGACGCCATGACCCTGGTCAACCTCCGCGGCTGTGACAAGAAGAAGGTGATGGAGGAAGACAAGCGGCGAGTGAAGGAGCGGCTGTTCCAGTGCCACGCACAGCCCCGAGAGCCCAGGTGCGCCGGGTGTCTGCCCTGTCTCACTGTGTCTTCTCCACTACCACTCTCCCTGCAGCCGAAGTCTCTCAGGGAGGAGGAGCCTGCGGAACAAACAGAACAACGAAAAAAGCGAACACTGTGAGGCTGATTTGCTTGTAAGACCAATTTTGGCAGAGAAAATAATACAGTTTGTATCATAAACAGTTTGTTCAACATTCAGAAGATACGATGAGGGCCAGGCGTTTGGCCTAGTGGGCAGGATGCTCCGCTCCCAAATCAGAGGACCTGGCTTTGCCAGCTGGCTCCACTCCTGACTGCGGCTTCCTGCGAGTGTAGACCCTGGGGAGCAGCAGTGATGGCTCACTTGGGTCCCTACCACCCACTCGGGAGGCCTGCACGGAGTTCCTGGCTCCCAGCTTCTGAGAGAGAGAGAGAGGTGTCTTCCATCTGATGGTTCACTCCCCAATTGGCCCCAACGGCCGGAGCTGAGCCAAGCCAAAACCAGAAGTCAGGAGCTTCTGGGTCTCCCACGCAGGTGCAGGGGTCTAAGGACTTGGGCCATCTTCTACTGCTTTCCCAGGCCATAGCAGAGCGCTGAATCAGAAGAGGAGCAGCCAGGACTAGAACTGGCACCCATATGGGATGCCGGCACTGCAGGCGACGGCTTTACCCACTACGTCACGGCAAAGGGCCAGTCAAAATTTTTTATATAAAAGTGAGGACAGATGGTTGGGAACTACTGGACTAAATGCGCAGAAGTACAATTATACACTAGGCAGGCATTTAAAAATATTGCTGTGTGACCCCATTTTGAAAGAGAGCAAGGGCCGGCACCGCGGCTCACTAGGCTAATCCTCCACCTGCGGTGCCAGCACACCAGGTTCTAGTCCCGGTCGGGGTGCCGGATTCTGTCCCGGTTGCCCCTCTTCCAGGCCAGCTCTCTGCTGTGGCCAGGGAGTGCAGTGGGGGATGGCCCAAGTGCTTGGGCCCTGCACCCCATGGGAGACCAGGAAAAGCACCTGGCTCCTGCCATCGGATCAGCGCGGTGCGCCAGCCATAGCGGCCATTGGAGGGTGAACCAACACTAAAGGAAGACCTTTCTCTCTGTCTGTCTCTCTCTCGCTGTCCACTCTGCCTGTCAAAAAAAAAAAAAAAAAAGAGAGAGAGAGAGCGAGAGAGAGAGAGAGAGCAAGAATGAGAGCAGTGAGAGCAGGCACATGAGCTAGTGAGAGGCAAAACCAGGATCTCAACTCCGGAGGTCCCTCCCTAACTCCTTGCACACAACCAATACACTAATTACATTAAGATCATGGGAGGTTGAAATCTTTTTTTTTTTCCTCTTCTATATTTTCTGTAGTAAATATGTATTACTGTCTTTAATTTAAAAAGATTTATTTTGCACCAGTGCCGTGGCTCACTTGGTTAATCCTCTGCCTGCAGCACCGGCATCCTATATGGATGCCGGGTTCTAGTCCCAGTTGCTCCTCTTCCAGGCCAGCTCTCTGCTGTGGCCTGGGAAGGCAGTGGAGGATGGTCCAAGTGCTTGGGCCCTGCACCTGCAGGGGAGACCAGGAGGAAGCACCTGGCTCCTGGCTTTGGATCGGCGTAGCTCCAGCTGTAGCAGCCATATAGGGGGGTGAACCAACAGAAGGAAGATCTTTCTCTCTGTCTCTCTCACTGTCTAACTCTTTCTCTCAAATAAATTAAAAAAAGATTTATTTTATTTATTTCAAAGACTGTGGGGGGGGGCGATCTTCCATCTGCTGGTTCACTCCCCAAATGGCCACAATACACAGGGCTGCTCCAGGCTAAAGGCAGGAGTCTGGAACTTGAGTCATCTGGGTCTCCCACATGGGTGGCAGGAACCCAAGTACTCTAGCCATCTCCTGCTGCTTTGCCAGGTGCATTAGCAGGGAGCTGGATCGGAAGCAGAGCAGCAGGACTCCAACCAGCACTCATATGTGATGTTGGCATTGCAGGGAGTGGCTTAACCCACTGCACCTCAATGCTGGCCCCTGTATTATCCTTTCTAATCAGAAACCTAAAAGCCTATACATGTGGGGTTTGCCAAAGACAGGCCTGGCAGCTTTGCCCACATGGTCAGAGGCATGGGTGGCCAAGCAGCTGGTGGGAGGCTCTAGAAGCCTCAGCTGGTCCCCCTGGTCTCCCCTCTGCTTGGTTTCCCCAGGCGGGAACAGGTCGAGTCCTCGCATTTGGCGATGTTGGACCAGCAGCGCTACGAGGATTCCCACCTTGGGGGATACCGGCGCATCTACCCTGGGCCCAACATGGAGAAGTACGCTCCCTTCTTCAAACACAACAGCTCCCTCTTCCAGGAGACCGCAGCCTCCAAGGCCAGGGAGGAGTGTGCCAGGTACTTTGTCCGGCGTGCTCCTCTGTACCCGGGGAGCCCACTGCTTGCCAGCAGCAGGAGAGGAGCTGCAGCCCGTCTCTTAATCGGTCTCTTAATGATGCTGGCTGTTTCGTCCAGAGAACAGAGCCTAACTTCCTCCTCTTCCCACCCGTTTTCCCTCAGCCCCCTTCTCCCCAACACGCTTTCTCCAGTGTCTGAAGCTGCCTGCTGTGTCTTGTCAGGCAGCAGCTGGAAGAGATCCGCCTGAAGCAGGAACAGCAGGACACCTCGGGTGCTCGACGGCGAAAGGAAAGCAAGGACCAGAACCAGGGTGAATCTGCCGGGGAGAGGAGCCGCGCCAGGCCGAGGCCCCGGGGCCCTGCCACTCACCTGGCCCACAGGAACCGGATCCAGGAGAGAGAGGTGTCAGGGGCTTTGTGGCTCTTACCTTCCTGCAGGCAAATGGGTCGGGACTCCTGGAGGAAGGAATATGCTGTCTTCTCCTCCCCTTGTATGAGAGAGAGGGAGAGAGAGAGGAGGGAGAGAGAGAGGAGTTTCTAATCAGTGAGTCTGACTTTTTGGGACAGGAAGGTGAGAGAATGGACAGCAAAGGGAGCCTTGCATAGACTGAGGGAAGGGAGGGCAGGTGGGCAGGCGGCCGCGGCGCTCCTGGCTGAGGGTGTCTGTGCCGCATCCTTGGAGAGCCTGCATTTCTCTCTGCTGTACCTTGTAGCTGGTCCCAGTGCACCTGGACACCATGCAACCTCAAGATATTGTGGAAGAAGAGGAGCTGGAGCGGTTGAAGGCCCTGATACAAAGGGAGAATCTTATCCGAAGCATGGGTATCATACAGCAGCTCACCCGCATGCTGCACCCCAGTCACCAGGGCCAGAAAAAGCCTCATGAGTATCGGGTGAGGGTCCTTACGAAGCTTCCTCCCCCAGACCCAGGGAAGCAGGGCTGTGGGACCGACACATGGTGGTGGTGGCACCAGAGGAGGTTTATGTGATGGTATCCATCGGCGGAGCCCGGGAAAGCAGAGTGCGGCTGGGCCTGGGAGAGGGTCTGTTGGTTTCACCTGTTCCCAGGCTCCCTCGTTTTTGAGAGTGACAACCACCAAGGTGTGGTCCCCAACCCTCTCAATTATCAGAGACTTGTTCTATATATTTGGTCTTATAGTCCCCCCAGACCCAATGACTGGCAGACAGCAAGGCCACCACCCCTCCCTTGGTGGTTTCTGAGTCATTTTCTCCCAAGCACTGCCAGTGCCCCGGATCTAAAGGGAGAGAAGTCAACAGTCTGGCTGCACTCACTCTTCCCCGGGCTGGTAGCAAACCTTTTGGGTCCTGTTGTCTCTGGCTGAACCCCAAAGGAGTAACTGGGTACGCAGTGGCCATGGCCGAGAGGAGATTTTTTTCAGCGACCCGTTTCTTCCGACACTCCACCTGGCCTCCCAAGAGATGTGGTAAGAGGCTGCTCTTCTCCTCCAGCCTAGATGTCACCAGGACGGGCCGGGCAATCAGGAGCCACAGACGGTGAATCTGGTCCCACTGATGCTCCTGAGAGGCCCTGCCGCGAGGCAGGTCGCTCCTCACCTCCTGCACCTGGTTCGGCCCCAGGAATTGATCCCTAGGATCTTAGGGCCGCTGACAAACGTGGACGCTGCGGTTCCACACCAGCCCCAGTGCCACCTGCAGTCCAAGAGCCTCAGCTGGACAGGAGACCCAGCCGTCATCAGCTCCCGTTTCTTGTCAATGAAGAGATCCGGGAGGCACTATTTTTCCAGCACTAGATTCAGGCTCACTGGCAGTAAGTATACGAAACTAGCCTTTGGTCATTGCGACCTGTGTCAATTCCCACTAGCAACTACTGCCGACGGGATGCTCCCAAGAGATAATATGGCACTTAGAGCAGTACCGGGAGCGGGGGAGGGGAGTGGGCCGGTGTGTTGCCCTCTTTGTAATGCACGGGTCCTGCCGTGCTAGAAATGGTAGCGCTACAGCATCTCAGCCCCGGTTAACAGGGAACTGGGAAAGGAAACATCCCAACTGTAACACCTGGTGGGCGGCATCCAGCATGGGAAGCCGCTCCCCTGTGCTGGTGACGAGCACAGGTGGGAAAGGGGTGAGGACAGCTCTAAGTATCAGCTCTGAGGGGCCCATGTTTCCACTGCAGAAGGCCAAGCCAGCAGAAGGCTAGAAGCCATAAACCGCACCCTGACGGGATCAGTGCCGCCTCCCCTAACCCCAAAGCAGGGCTACCTTCTGCGACCGGAGAGAGCGGCAAGTGAATCATGGACTGGATGCACTTTGCCCTCCATGATACATTCTGAACACATAGCGACCAAGCGCCTCACCCTCTGCCGCGCCTCTGCACCCGCACAGCGTTCCGGTGCCCTCAACATCACCCAGCACAGGTAAACGCAGGAGGGAAAGCCCAGCACCGGACCTCTCCTGGAGACGCCCCTGCGGTGCCCCAAGCGGCAGAGGGCCTTCGATCTGCCCAACGAACGACGGCCACCGGGTTCCAGTTTGACACAGGACCCTCGACTGCGTAAGGCCAAAAGACACCGAGAATTCCTCAACGCCCTAAGACTGCTCGGGGATCCACGAAGACTCAACGGCGAAGGGGAGCCACGGCTGGCCATCGCGCTCATCACTGCTCGTCAAGCCTTAGCCCGTGCTTTACTCGCTGGGCGCTGGGTTCGAACCCTGGGTGCGGCCTGGGGTTGGAGATCAACCAGGCGACAAGGAGCCCCGTCCCCGGAGGAGCCGAGTGCCCACCGCACGGCGCTTGGGTAGCCTCAGCAGCCGGCCAAGGGGCGCCCTTCCCGCCGCAGTGGTGGGGACAGGCCTGGGCAGGCTGGGCAAAGGGGGCGGCTTTTGGCAATTGAATCTTTTTATTAAAGTTTATGTCGTTTTCCAGGCGCGTCCTGTACCTCAATTCGACCCTCGCCTTCCTCTAGGAAACCCCTCACCACTGTTAAGAGGCGGCGAGGGTGAGGCGCAACCAACCAAGAGCCCAGATCTCCCCGGCCCGCGAGCCGGATGGACGGGCTACCCTCCCCTACTTCCGGTCCCGGCACGCCTTCCGCTTCCGGTTCCGCCCTTCAGCTTCCGGTGCTGCCGCGTCCAGTGCTGCGAGCAGAAGCTGCGTGTGCCTCGACATGGCGGGTACCCTGAGCCTGTGGCTGGGCGGGCGTGTCCGCGCTGCCGTCTCTCGCTGTGGGTTCGCGACCCGGGGCGTGGCGGGCCCGGGCCCGGTGGGCCGCGAGCCGGACCCCGATTCCGACTGGGAGCCTGAAGAGCGGGAGCTGCAGGAGCTGGAGAGGTACCAGCTCCTCCTCGGGCCCTCGGCTTGAAGCAGGGCTCTCGGCGCCCCGGCGCTCCAGGCCGCGCCCCCTTGGCGCCGGGCGTCCTGCCGTGGCGTGCGCAGCGGCCCGTGTGTCGTCTTCCCCTTTGTCAGGGCGCAGGGGAGGTGTGTTCGGCTCCCTGGGGACCGCCGGTCTCCTCGCCCGTGGCGTATTTCATCGTGTGTGTAGAGTTCGGCTTGCTTGTGGGCAGTTACTGTTCTAGATGTTAGGTTCCAGGGGGCGGTGCACGGAGCAGCAGCACGCCGGCGCCCTCGGCCCGGCCGCCCCGTGATTCAGCCCCGGGCCAGGCTCTTCAAAACCCACCTTGCTTCCACGCGTGGCTCCTGCCACTGGTTCTCTCCCCCAGCACCCTGAAACGACAGAAAAAAGCAATCCGATTCCAGAAGATTCGGAGGCAAATGGAGGCGCCTGGTGCCCCGCCCAGAACCCTGACGTGGGAGTCCATGGAGCAGATCCGGTAAGGCTGGGGGGACCTTGCCGTGATGACGGGTGGAGGATAACTAGGGTCTCGAGCGCGGGTTTGACTCCCTGGGTCTGTTTATAGGATTTTTTTTTTCTTTTTTGGAAAAATTAAAGTGACAGCAAGATACCTTCCATCTGCTGATGGAGTCCCGAGATGCCCTCGACAGCATGGCTGGACCAGGCCCGAGCCAGGATCTCAGAATTCCAGCCAGGGCTCCCACGTGGGCGGCGGGCACCCCAGGACTTGGGCCGTCTTCTCGCCTTAGAAGCTGGTCATGGGGACCCTGATTGGCAGCGGAACAGCCATGACAGAACCCACTGAGGCCCTGCAGGCGGCACCTCCGGCTCCATAGTGCCCACCCACGCTTCTCTTTCTGTTGTTGAAGTTTTCTGACAGAAAACAGAGTAATGCGTTGTTCCATAAGCCTGGCATCTAGGTTTAGCAATTTTTGACATCACACAATTGGTCGTCACTTTCAACATAACACAGCTGGTCACAGCACAAAATTTTTGCTGAAATTTTAAAATAGTAGATTGCAAACACCTCAACATTTAATTTCTGAATAGTAGATCTTGATGTTCTTTCTTGATTTTGGTAACTGCAGTTACACAGATAGAGGGAGAGAGGTAGCAAGATCTTCCATCATGGATCAGAAGTGGAGGGCCGGTGCCGCGGCTCACTAGGCTAATCCTCCACCTGCGGTGCTGGCACCCTGGGTTTTAGTCCCGGTTGGGGCGCCGAATTCTGTCCCAGTTGCCCCTCTTCCAGGCCAGCTCTGCTGTGGTCCAGGAGTGCAGTGGAGGATGGCCCAGGTGCTTGGGCCTGCACCCCATGGGAGACCAGGAGAAGCACCTGGCTCCTGGCTTTGGATCGGTGCAGCACGCCGGCCGCAGCGGCCATTTGGGGGGTGAACCAACGGAAGGAAGACGTTTCTCTCTGTGTCTCTCACTGTCTAGCTCTGCCTGTCAAAAAAAAAAAAAAAAAAAAAAAGCAGCCGGGATGTGAACCATTGCCCATACGGGGTGCTGAGTGTCACAGCGGCAGCTGTACCCTCTGTGCCGCAATGCCGTCACCCATGGTGTTCTTAACCTAATGGGGCTCCCAGTCCTGGTTACGTGGTTAATGCGCATTTTCCTGAAGAGAGAATCTATTTTAGAGCATCTTTAAAGGGCTCGTTTTTAAGTTGTAAAATTTTTTTGTTGTTGTTGTGCTAACAGTGAACATTATTTGTCCCGCTGGTCTCCTGTGGGTACAGTTTTTGGTGTGTTTTTTACAGTCCAGAGGGTTTATTTTTTAAACACCTGTGATGCCGTGAATTCGTGGGGAGTGGGTTCTCACGGCTCAGGCCCCTTCCAGCATGTGCCACCTGGGCTTCTCTGGGTGGAGCCGGCTGGCGCCTCAGTTGAACCGGGTGCCTCTCTCTGACTTCCTCCTTGCTCTGATGGTTTTCCTCCACACGTTTCAGGAAGCCCTCTTGCCTCCTAGGGTGCTTATGCTCAGTGCGCACAAGGACTCTCCTGGCCGGAATCTGGCCAGTGCCAACCGCAAGCGGAGTGATGCCGCCGACTCTGCTGGTGGCGCCGTGGCCTCCAGGGGGCGCTCCTTTATGAACAGTTCCCGTTCCCTTGATGTCTGCGCTGTCGCCTTTCTTGTAAATGCGCAAAGGCAGAACCCCGTGTTTTCTCCAGATGCCTGGAGAACACGTATCGGGTGCCTCTCCTCTTTCTCTTTCTGTTCATCATCTTGGCGAGTTACTGAAGATAAGGGTTCTGGCTGAAAAGCCTATGGGTGGCCAGCGCCGCGGCTCAATAGGCTAATCCTCCACCTGTGGTGCCGGTACACCGGGTTCTAGTCCCGGTTGCTCCTCTTCCAGTCCAGCTCTCTGCTATGGCCCGGGAGTGCAGTGGAGGATGGCCCAAGTGCTTGGGCCCTGCACCCCATGGGAGACCAGGAGAAGCACCTGGCTCCTGGCTTTGGATCAGCACGGTGCGCCGGCTGCAGCGCAGCGGCCATTGGAGAGTGAACCAAGGGTAAAAGGAAGACCTTTCTCTCTGTCTCTCTCACTGTCCACTCTGCATGTCAAAAAAAAAAAAAAAAAAAAAGCCTATGGGTACAGTTTTTTAAATAGTTTTTGTGTCTTTTTCCAGATTTCTTTATGCAAATACAATCACATATGAATATAAGTGTTTTTTTTTTTTAATTTATTTTACTTATTTGAAAGGCAGAGCCACAGAGGGAGAAAGAGAGCTTCCATCCACTGGTTCATTCCCCAAATGGCCACAACAACTGGGGCTGGGCCAGTCCCGCGCTAGGAGCCCCTCCCAGGTCTCCCACATGAGTGCAGGGACCCAAGGGCCAGGGCCATCCTCTGCTTCTTTCCCTGGTGCATTAGCAGTGAGCCAGATCGGAGGTGGAGCAGCTGGGACTTGAACCAGCACACATATGGGATGCCAGCACCACAGGCAGCAGCTTAACCTGCTATGCCACAGTGCCAGCCCCCCCAAATATGAATTATTTTCACTGTCTCGCTCATGAAAAGAAACATACTATAAATAAGTTGCTTTGGGGCCAGCTGGAGTAGGTTGGGCCTCTGCCTGCCATGCCAGCATCCCGTCTGGGCATGGATTGGAGACCTGGCTGCTCCACTTCTAATCCAGCTCCCTGCTGGTGCACCTGGGAAAGCAGCGGCTGACGGCCCCAGTCCTTGAGCCCCTGCGCTCACAGGGGACACCTGGAAGAAGCAGCCATCTGGGGAGTGAAACAGCTTACAGAAGGTCTCTCTCACTAACTCTGTCCTCTTTGTGACTCTGCCTTTCAGATGGAAATATGTGTGTGTGTGTATTCATTTATTTTAGATTTCATTTATTTATTTGAAAGGGAGAGGTACAGAGAGAGGGAGAGACAGAGATCTGTAAATCGACCACTGAGAGAGCTTGAGAATAGAAAGCTACTCATGAGGTTGCACCGCCTGAAATCCTTCCCTGGCTCACGTCACCTAAATGCAAGGTGATCTTGCCCCTGCCTGGCCTTTGAGCCGAGTCCCAGCAGAGCTGCTGATCGGCGTTTCACGTGCTGTCCTCCCTCCTCACCCCTCCCCTCTCTTGACATGACTGCTTTTCAACCCTGCAGACCAGCTTTAGCTTGGACTTCTTGATGAGGGCCTAGTCCGGGCTGTTTGTTGGTGACTTGGTTGCCCACCCCTGGGTTTCCCTTTTGGTGTTCTCCCTGCAGCCTAATAGTCACTATGCAGCCATCTGTGTTAAACTGTGTGCCCCTGGAAGGAAGGGGAGTCCTTCGTCCCAGGATCTAAGGTGGGTGTTAGACAGCAGTGGGAGGTGTTGAGCTGACACCACGAGGGGTGCGATGTTGCTGATGGCACGCGGGAATGGAACACAGCCATTTAACTGGCACAGAGTGTGCTAATACCTGTAGTTCCCCCAAGCCCTCCTTTTGCTTCTCACTAATCTTATCGAGAGCTATTCTAATAGGACACTCAACTTGAAAACCTCCTTTTTTCCACAGGTATCTGCATAAGGAGTTTGCAGAGACCTGGTCAGTTCCCAGGTTGGCTGAAGGCTTTGATGTCAGCACTGATGTGATCCGAAGGGTTTTAAAAAGCAAATTTGTACCCTCCTTGGAACAGAAACTGAAGCAGGATCAGAAAGTCCTTGAGCGAGTTGGGCTCGCCCACGCACCGCCGCGGCTCCCTGCAGGCCACTCTGTGTCAGGGGCTTTGCTGGTGCCAGGAGATGAAGCCTCATCCAAAGGTCAGAGTCCCAGCACAGCTCTGAGAGCAGTCGCAAACACGCCTGGTGCAGGTTCACCAAGGAGACAAAAAGGAAGGAATCCAGGACCCCAGGGCCCGCAGGAGGAGGGCTTGGTGCCTGAAGCTGCATCCTGGGCTCGGCAGAGGGAGCTTCCGAAGTCCCCCACTCGGGACTGCACGCGGCCCAGAAGAAAGGGGAGCCAGCCGTCGAGTGACGGGAAGCTGGAAGACTTGAAGGCGGGGGGAGCTGGTGCCCAGAACTTCAGCAGCAAAGTAGTGCAGAGGGGGCGGGAGTTCTTTGACAGCAATGGGAACTTCCTGTACAGAATCTGAGCGGGGTCTGCCTTGTGAAGCACAGGTGGGCCGGTGTTTTCAGAACTGCCTGGCTTTCTGTGTGTGGGTCAGCACCTTGCGATGGAGGAAGTGGGCGGTGGAAGCCGCAGCTGCCTGGGTAGAGGGAAGCTGTCCGGAGCACTGCGCCGTCCGCCCCCTGTGAATCTCCATGCTCGCCCTTCTTGCCCGGGCTCTGTGTTGCAAGCCAGTGTTGCATGTGTTAGGAGCTTCTGTGATTCTTGTGCAATATACATTAGGGAGGAGGTGAAAAGTTTGCCTTCTGACCTCATTTCCTTGTCGATGAGTGAACACTAGCAGTTCTGGAACTGCCCGGTCAATTGGTTATTTCCTTACGTGTAGAAAAATAAAGTGAAAACGTAGCAGTCTGTGTTGCCTCGTGGTCTTTGGAGAGCAGGAAATGGGAAAGGAGGGGGATGGATTCCATGGGGAGACAGCTGGGCTGAGAGAAATCCCCAGGAGGGGGCTCTGTAGAGCACCCTGCTTGGTGAGGGTGGGGTACTTTTGGTGGTGGTTTGCCTTTTTAAGGATATCTGTGAGAAAGGATTTGAGAGATCAGCCATCTGCCGGCTCCGTAACAGTGGGCTGGGCCAAGTGAAAGGGAGAAAGCCAGAGCTCCCACGCAGGTGGCAGGAACCCAAGGACTTGAGCCATTATCTGCTACCTTCCTGGCGTGTGAAAGGCAGGACAACCAGAGATCTTCCATCTGCTGGCTCACGCCCCTAATGGCAGCAACAGCCCAGGCTGGGCCAGGCCGAAGCAAGTAGCCAGTAACTTACTCCAAGTGCCACACAGGTTGCTAGGGCTCAAGTACTTGAGCCATCTTCCTCTGCTTTCTTGGGTGCATTAGCAGGGAGCTGGATCTGAAGCAGAGTGCTTGGGATGCAAACCGGCCCTGCATTGTAGGATGTTGGCATTGCAAGCAGCGACTTAAACGGCTGTGCCACTCTTTTTTTTCTTTTTAAGGATTTAGTTGAAAGGCAGAGGGACAGAACTTCCGTCTGGGAGGCTGGAATATGGTATGGGAGGCAGTTTCTGTTTGTTCCACTGGGTTGGGGTCGTGAGAGTCCATAGGTCCTGTCCCCAGGCACTCCAGTGTGGGGACACGGTGAACATCAGCACCGCACTGGGTGAGGTGGAGCTGCACTTTGGGGCCCAGGTGACGAGGCTCCACGGCAGCGCCTCACAGCGGTGTTGGGGCCCCGCTGGAGAGGCTGGCAAACCACAGTGGAGAGGACTTGTGTCCCTGTGTCCCGTGGGCTCATGCTTCGCTCGTGTGCTTCAGGGGGGTGTCAGAGTGAAATCTACCGTCTACCCAGTCTGCCTTGCTCTCAGCCAAGAGTCAAGCCCACTAAGGGGGAGGGAGAGGGGCTCAGCATAAAATCCTAGGTGAATCTTTGAAGCCCATTGTGAGAGGAGAAGGTTTGCTTTTTGTTGAACCTTGTAGCATAGAACTTTTCAAACACAAAAGTAGAATGTTATGGTGCACTGAACTGTGTACCCATCACCCAGCTTCAACAAGTGGTTCTCCTTGGGGCCGGTGCTGTGCCGTAGTGGGTAAAGCTGCCCTCTGCAGTGCCAGCATCCCATGTGGGCACCAGTTCGAGTCCTCGCTGCTCTATTCCAGTCCAGCTCTCTGCTGTGGCCTAGGAAAGCAGTAGAAGACGGCCCAAATGCTTGGGCCCCTGTACCTGCATGGGAGACCAGGAAGAAGCTCCTGGCTCCTGACTTAGGATCAGCGCAGGTCCGGAGAGTGAATGAGAGGATGGAAGATCTCTCTGTCATTTTGTGTAACTCTGACATTCAAATAAATAAATCTTTAAAAAATAATTATTGGCCGGCACCACGGCTCAATAGGCTAATCCTCTGAGGCACCGGCACCGCGGGTTCTAGTCTCGGTCGGAGCACCAGATTCTGTCCCAGTTGCTCCTCTTCCAGGCCAGCTCTCTGCTGTGGCCAGGGAGTGCAGTGGAGGGCCCTGCACCCCATGGGAGACCAGGAGAAGCACCTGGCTCCTGCCTTCGGATCAGCGCGGTGCGCCGGCCGCAGCGGCCAGTGGGGGGTGAACCAATGGAAGGAAGACCTTTCTCCTCTGTCTTTCTCTCTCACTGTCCACTCTGCCTGTCAGAAAAATAATAATAATTATCAAATTGAAATATTAAAAAAATGGTCCATCTTTTCATTTATTACCCATATACTTGCCCTACTCTCTCTAGGTAATTTTAGAGCAATCCCAGATACCGTATTATTTCATCTGTGTAAGTATGTACTTCCAAGAGATAAGGAGTCTTTTTTTTTTTTTTTTTTTTTAGATTTATTTAACTTTTTGAGAGGCAGAGAGAGAGCTCTTCCATCTGCTGGTTCACTCCCCAGATGGCTGCAAACCGAAGCCAGGAGCAAAGCAGGTGGTGGCTTTACCTGCTACACCATAGCACCGGCCTCTTATTTTCCTTTTTAATATCAACATACAAACCATTTTTAGACCTGGAAAGTTTTGGTAGCTCCTTAACACCAGCTGATAGCCTGACCGTGGGCTCTCCTTGTTCCGGAAGCTACTTTTACACTTGGTTTCTTTGGGCTCACACACTGCAACGTTACATCTTGTTGCAATGTCCCCTGAGCATCTTTTACTCTCAAGTGGTTTGCCCTGCACATTTTCCCCTTGCCACTTACTTTTTGGGGAGGATGAGTGATTTCTTGTATCTTAGATTACAGCTGACTTCATTTCTGTGATGTCTTAAAGGCGGCCCTAGGGGCTGGTGCTCCGCCCACACCCGTGTGATGGTGTGACCGAGCAGTTCAGGCATTGCCAGGCTGCTCCCCGCCTGTCTTCATAAGCCTTTTTTTTTTTTTTTTAGATTTATTTATTTATTTGAAAGGTTACACAGAGAAGAGGCAGAGAGAAAGAGAGAGAGAGAGAGAGAGATCCTCTATCCGCTGGTTCACTCTCCAATTGGCCGCAATGGCCAGAGCTGTGCTGATCCTAAGCCAGCAGCCAGGAGCTTCTTCTGGGTCTCACACGCGGGTGCAGGGGCCCAAGGACTTGGGCCATCTTCCACTGCTTTCCCAGGCCATAGCAGAGAGCTGGATCGGAAGTGGAGCAGCCGGGACTGCAGGCGGAGGCTTTACCTGCCACGCCACAGCGGCGGCCCCATCAGCTTTCTTTTTTATCAAGATAGGTACGGGTCTGCCATTACCCTATATTTACTTCTCAGTCCCCATCCCTAAGGCGATCACTTCTCTGAAAATCATTTCGCCCCAGGTTAGTTTCCCTAGCTTCCCAGCTGGCTTGTTTTTATTGAGTCTGCTGCAGTCTCTCCATTTTCCCACAATGGGCATTGACGAGTCAAAGCTCCCACTTCAGAGGGCCACGCAGCCGGCGGGAGTAAGCTTCCTCCTCCGTCCCCGTCTCTGAAGCCAGAGATCCCCGGCCCGCGGCTCAGTTTGATTGACAGCGAAGACCTCAGCGATCGGCACCTTCCAGACTGCGTCGGTTTCGCCCATTCTACGGAGTTGTTGAAAACCGAGCAAGGGCCCAGCTTTAGGGAGCCAGGAGCCTTAAAAAATTATCTCGAGTATAATCACTTCATCCTAGGAAAATTTCCTGCGGCCAGGAACTCGATGGAAGAGTCCGTTAGTGCCTCCGCTTTTTCGAATGTACCTTTCGGCACGCCGTCCCCTTCCCGGCATGCCCAGCGCTGAGTCCGTCAAAGGGACTTCCGGGAGATCCAGGAAGTCGCCTGTCTCCGGCGGGAGGCGGGGTTGTCCCCGCACGCCGCGGGCTGCAGGCGCACAGACTGAACCCTGCTACCTGCAGAGTGCATCCGGGCGGGACACTGTGGCTGCAGGTCTGAGACGAGGGTCCCCGAGGCTGCGGCTGTGAGCCCGGGAGGTGGCCATTCCTTCCTGGAGTGCTTGGGCAGAGGGCGTGCACGTCGGGCCTGTGGGTAGCCACCCTGCTCTTCCCTGGGCTGTGTCTCTGACCGCCGTCTCAGTAGGAAGGGCAGCCCAGGTGGCCGCTGCCATGGCCTTTCCCCATCGGCCGGACGCCCCTGAGCTGCCTGACTTCTCCATGCTCAAGAGGCTGGCCCGAGACCAACTCATCTACCTCCTGGAGCAGGTCTGTGCCCCCGCGCCTGGCGCCTTTACTGAATTAATAGTTTGGCACCCCCCGGATGCATGCCCTTTGATGTTGTTCTTGGCCTCGGTGTGGCCCTTAGCGCTTCCGCGGAGCTCGGAGGGTAGTAAGAGCTGCTTGGAGCTGTGCCTGAGTTACTGAACATCACGTTCTCCGTGATGGCAAGGGTGGCAGCACACCTCACTCATCACTGGGCAAGGACGTCTTCGCCATTAGGGATCTTACCCTGCAGTGGGAGCCGTAGGAAACACACATCACCACAAGGGATCAGGCGGCAACTGAGTGAGGGCTCGGGACCCTAGGAGTCAGAGCGGTCAGCTCTAGCTGGGGAGAGTGCGGGGGATTCTAGTTGCTGGAGAGCATGCTTCGTTCAGATGGACTGGGGGAGCCTCGCTGAACACCCAGGGAGGGGCAAGGTATGTAGAGGACAAGGGCTTGCAGAATTTACACGGTGGGCACCAGGCAACCCATTGTGGCATGAAGTAGTCCATGATGATGATTCTTTTTTAAAGATTTATTTATTTGAAAGGCAAAGCATCAGAGAGAAAAGACGAGACAGAACGGGAGGTCTGTTATCCGCTGGATCAGTTGCCCAAATGGCTGAAACAGCTGGGTCTGGGCCAGGCTGAAGCCAGCGGCCAGAAACTCCATCCAGAACTCCCGCGTGGGTGGCGGGGGCCTAGGTGCGTCTGTCCTCAGCCGCTGCCTCCCCGCGGGCACCGACACAGAGTCGGATCTCAGGCCGTGTAGCCAGGGCCCAAGACTGGCAGTGCCGCACGGGACTGCTGCCCCACAAGAGCCCGGCTTGATGGACTCTGATAGGGATGTGCGAGGTGGGGGTCAGTGGACAGCAGGAGGCCGGTTAGGACCCTGGATCAGGCTGGGGTCGCAAAGCCCCACACGAACTTGGTGGCATTGGGATGAAGGGAAGTGATGGATTGTCAAGTCCTCGTGAAGGAGGACTCGGGCTCATGGATTGGTGGTGAAGGTTGAAAGAGGCGCAAACCTACCTACGTCAGGGTTGTTTAAGCTCTGCGATTAGGAAGAGAGTGCTGGCACTGTGAGTGTGACAGATTACTTGTTGAATTATTCAGATGTTTGCTTACTTCCATGTTTCCCATTAGATTGGAAAGTGCTCAAGGACTAGGGCGCTTGTCTGCTTTGTTCCACACTGTGTGTACTCCCAGTGAGCACCTGGCTCTGAGCAAGCACGTGCCATGTACGCAATGAGTATTTGTGTCTGAACATTGAATGGAAATGAAAAAAATTAGGTGGGGGACAGTGACTGATTTGGATTGGCTACGGTGAAGGTAAAATGCCAGTAGGAGGTGGAGCTCGGAACATGAAGCAGGTAGAAATGTGGAGCGACAGTTCCATCCCGTGGGCTGGGATGAAGAGGCAGAGGTGGGGGACATCGCAGAACCTCAGAGGCTCTGGGACTGTGTTATTTCCCTTGCATGTGCTACAGATATATTTCTCTTATAAATGCTCTATCCAGTGCTAATGCAGTGATTTGCATATAAAGACACTCAACAAGTCTGAGGAGTTGAAAAGAGATGCAGTTTCATTAAACCCACTAGTTTACCGTGAGATCTTCATGAAACAGAGTGGAAGGGCCGGCACTGTGGTGCAGCAGGTTTAAGCCCCAGCCTGCAGCACCGGCGTCTCAAATGGACACGAGTTCAAGTCCTGGCAGCTCCTCTTCCAATCCAGCTCCATGCTGTGGCCTGGGAAAGCAGTGTAAATTGGCCCAACTCCTTGGGCCCCTGCACCCATGTGGGAGACCCCAGAAGAATCTCCTGGAACCTGGCTTCGGAACAGCTCAGCTCTCACCGTTGCAGCCATTTGGGGAATGAACCAGCGGATGGAAGACCTCTCTCTCTCTCTCTCTGGCTCAACCTCTCTCTGTAATGCTGTCTTTAAATAAATATTTAAAAAAAAAAGAGAAGAAGAAGAAGAAAGAGTGGAAGGGGCCAGTGCTGTGGCAAAGGAGGCTAAGCTTCTGCCTCCAGCAGTGGCATCCCGTATGGGCACCGGTTCGTGTCCCAGCTGCTGCTTTTCTGATCCAGCTCTCTGTTACGGCCTGGGAAAGCAGTAGAAGGTGGCCCAAGGCCTTAGCCCTGGCACCTGTGTGGGAGACCCGAAAGAAGCTCCTGGTTCCTGGCTTCAGATCAGCCCAGCTCTGGCCATTGTGGCCATTTGGGGAGTGAACCTGTGGATGGAAGACTCTCTCTACCAGTAACTCTACCTCTCAAATAAATAAATAAAATCTTGAAAGAAAGAGAGCAGAAGAGACCAAGACTTGAAGCTTGCAAGGGGACTTTAGGTGAGGCAGAGGAGACGATGGGGTGACTCGGCATGGCCAGAGGGCATCTCTGTACAGTAGCATTCTCCACACTGAGTGCTCTTTGATTCTTGTTAGTGAGCACTGCTGTGCAGGCTTAACCCGTCAGCATGGGGCGGGCATCTGGCCTAGTGCGTAGGACACTGGTGTATACGCTGCATCACCCTGGGAGGCAGCAGTGACGACTCAGGTACCTGGGTCTCTGCCTCCCATGTGGGTGACCCAGGTTGAGTTCCCAGCTCCTGGCTACAGCTTATCCCAACCCTGGCTGGTGTGGGCATTTGAACCAGCAGAGGGAAAATCTCTGTCTAACTTTGCCTTTCAAAGAAAAAAAAAAAAACTTCATCCCATATTGGAGCCCCTGGGTCAATTCGTGACTCAGGTTCCTACTCCTGATCCCCATCCCAGTTCTGGCTCCCTGCTCATGCAGGCCCTGGGAGGCCATAGTGATAGCTCAAGTAATCGGATTCCTGTCACCCACATAGGAGGCCAGGCTGGAGTTCCTGGCTTCCTGGCTGCCTGTTGTGGGCATTTGGGGAATGAGCCAATGGATGGAACTCACTCTCCAAATTGAGGAAAATAGACGTCGGCGTCATCTGTGTCTCATCTTCACCCAGTGAAGTCCCGTGGTACTTCCTTATGCGTGATGTTTTTGGTGGTGATTGTAAAGTGACACTGTACATTACGGGAAATGTTGAAGACCAAGGAAAATGCAAAGGAAAAGTCACCAGTAACCCTACTGTCAGTTACAAGTACTGTTAACACTTTTACTGTCTCTCAAGTGTTTGAAGACGTGTATTCCATGTGTATTCCATATTCTATCCATAAATATATTCCGTGTTCCATTTACCTCTCACCTATTTCTGACCACACCACCACACCTGAATCAGGTCTTCACCATTGCCACGTGCTGGGGCTGCGTGGACTGTTGCACTGACTCCCCAAATTACCTCTTCTAATTGACTCAGCCTCACTTTAGGGTTTCTCAGCTTTGGCACTGTTGACATTTTGGACTGGATAATTCTTTTTTTTTTTTTTTTTAAGATTTTTATTTATTTATTTGAAAGTCAGAGTTACACAGAGAGAGGAGAGGCAGAGAGAGAGAGGTCTTCCATCCGATGGTTCACTCCCCAACTGGCCGCAACGGCTGGAGCTGTGCCAATCCAAAGCCAGAAGCCAGGAGCTTCTTCCGGGTCTCCCACATGCGTGCAGGGGTCCAAGGACTTGGGCCATCTTCTACTGCTTTCCCAGGCCATAGCAGAGAGCTGGATTGGAAGTGGAGCAGCCAGGACTTGAACCGGCACCCATATGGGATGCTGTCGCTTCAAGGCCAGGGTGTTAACCCATTACACCACAGCGCCAGCCCCCTGGATAATTCTTTATCTGGGGGTCCTATCCTGGCCATTGCAGGATGTTTGCAACATTCCTGGCTTCTACCCATTAAAGGCCAATGACACCCCCTAGACTGAGTCAGACAACCAAAAACATTCCTGAAGGTTGCCGATGTCCCCTGGGGTCACAGCTGCTCCTGGCAGAGAGCCACTGCCCTCCCCCGGAAGCCCTTGTTCTTCTGTTGCTGCCCAGCCTGTGCTGCGCCCTGACCGTTGCTCGGTCACCCTCAGTGTGAAGGTTCTTTGACAAGTTTGTGGAAAGTTTGTATTATGAAAAAAAAAAAAAAACAACTTATGCATGGATTTCAAGCAAGACTTTTTTTTTTTTAATTATATATTTATTTGAAAGTTAGAGTTACACAGAGAGAGGAGAGACACAGAGAGGTCTTCCATCCACTGCTTTCCCAGGCCATAGCAGAGCACTGGATCGGAAGTGGAGCAGCTAGGACTCAAACCGGCACCCACATGGGATGCTGACACTGCAGACGGCTGCATTACCCACTATGCCACAGCACCAATCCCTCAAACAAAACTTTTGTACCAAAATAAATGTGTCTTTAGATTCCATTTTCCATGAACTGTTTGGAGTCTCCTTTATGTCTCTGTCAACACCTTACCCATTTGTCAAGGCCTGGTTGAGAGGCAGTTTCTGACACCTTCCCCCTCCCTGACACCAGCTGTGCCCTCTCCTTCCTCTGGACACTTGAGAGGGCGCCATCAGGAGTGATGGTGCAGGAATCAGGTGGCAGAGCTTGGGGACTGAGTGAATGAGGTGTTGGTAGGGTTAATCCGGACCTGGGTCTTCTCAGTTTTCTGTATTGAACGTGTGTTGTTTTATAATCAGGAGGAAAGTGCTATTTGGAAAGACACTTAGCAGTCGAGAGGGTTGTAGGATGCAGGGTAGGCTTTCGCCGTGTTTGGCGTTGTGCGGCAGGAGAGGGGCTTGTTGGGAAGCAGAGTGGAGGAGGAGGCAGTGGGGCAGAGGAACCAAGGTGCAGATCAAGGTCACGGGCGGGCAGGAGGGTTGAATGAGGAGGAGTTAGTGTCTTCCTGCTGGTACAGAACGTGAGAAGGCGAAGCAGGCGAGTACACAGAGAACTGTAATCTGTGGACACAGACAGCAGGTGAGGTCTGGTGGCGTCTGGCAGCCCTCCGACTCCGGGACTGTGCTTCTGTGCGATGGGAGTGGGAGGCCGCGGGACCCGTGAGTGACCGCCGTACCCCCTTCCAGCTTCCTGGAAAAAAAGATTTGTTCATCGAGGCAGATCTCATGAGCCCTTTGGATCGAATTGCCAACGTGTCCATCCTGAAGGTACCGTGCCTTTCCCAAGGGCGATCGGGCCCCTTTTGTCTTTGAGCTGTTTGTCTCTCGGTGAACAGTAGGGTGTCTGAAGCGAGCCTCCCCTTGTGGGGTAAATACAGGGCAGCTCCCCGGGCGGGGGGGGAGATTGATGCTGGTGTTTCCATTGTTTTACCTTTGGTTTTCCTGCAAACCAGGTGGGAGAAGGGTTCAGTGGGTTAGCTGTCGGGGGCGGGGGGGGGGGAGCAGTTTGGTTCTAGAAGCCGCATAAATAAATAGGAGGCTCCTAAGAAGTCAGCTGTCTTGTGTTACGCTTCTGCGCATTTCAAGTGCTCTTACGTCCGTTGTCTTGTTGGATTCCCTGTAGCAACACGAAGTGGACAAGCTGTACAAGGTGGAGAACAAGCCAGCCCTCAGCTCCAGTGAACAGTGAGTGTCTGCCGGTCTGTCTCTCCCCGGGCGCATGGGTCCTGCAGGGACCTGGCACGCGGCGTGTGGGTGTGGCACGCTTCGCTTCCGGGGCTTTTGCAGTTTCATGCCGAGGACGTGGCGTTAGCCTCCCACTGGGGCCGCCTCTCTGCAGTTTCTCCACTCCTTGACAGCTCCCCGTCTCATCCGTGTGATTGTCTATAACCAGATGGATCTGGCTTTCAAAATGATTCTCACTGCTGCTTCTCCGGAACCTTCAAGGTTTCCCGGTACCGCACACAGCCCAAATCGCTCGTCGCAGACCCTGAGGCCCTCACCAGTGTGGGGTCACACACTGCCTTTCCAGCCTGTCTCTGGTGTCCTCTTGGTTTTTTTTAAGTTTAAAATGTTATTCATTCACTTAAAAAATGAACAAAATGTGTATTTCTAATCTTACTAAACCTGCCTGAAACGTGTTCGTAGAGCACAAAGGACTATAGGGTTCAGGTGTTGACATGTGCTTCCACACCGTCCCAGCTCCATGCAGGCACAGTCCCTCTGCCTCTCCTTCCTGCCCTCGGTGCTTCTGCAGAGAATTCCTGTCCTGGTGAGGGCGTTTGGGTAAGCTGTCAAGATGCTGGCTCAGAGGCTCGTGTCCTACATTGGAGCGCCTGGGTTGCCCTCCCAGCTCTGGATCCGGACTCCGGCTTCCTGCTAGTGCAGACTCTAGGAGGCAGCAGTGATGGTTCAAGTAACTGGGCTCCTGCCACTCGTGTGGGAGACCTGGATCAACTTCCTGACTCCCAGCTTGGCCCCAGCCCAGCTCCAGCTGTTGCGGCCTTTGGGGAGTGAACCAGTAGGTAGGAGCTCTCTGTGTCTGTCTTTCTCTGTCTCTCTGCCTCTAAAATAAAAAATTTATTAAAAGTTGAAAAGAAAAAATCTTCCTGCCCTTCAGAGCCCAGCTCCGCCCCCTGTGATTTGTTGCTCTTGCGACAGCTGCTTCCCTCTTCCTCTGGGTTTCCGTGGCATTTTGTATGTGTCCTGCTTACTGGGCATGTAGTCATGTAGTCAGCACTCCCTGTTGTGTTTTCTTTTCTTTTAAAGATTTATTTATTTATTTGAAAGGTAGGGGAGGCAGAGAGAGAGAGAGAGGGAGAGACAGATCTTCCTTCCATTGGTTCACTCCTCAGATGGCTGCAGCGGCAGAGTTGGTCTAGGCCAAATTCCATCCTGGTCTCCCATGAGGTTGCAGGGGCCTGAGCACTTGGGCCATCTTCCAGGTGCAGTAGCAGGGAGTTGGATTGGAAGTGGAACAGCCAGGCCTCAAACTGGCACTTGTATGGGATGCCAGTATCCAATGGCCGCTGCGGCCGGTGTGCTGCGACCAATGCACCACGCTGATCAGAAGCCTGGAGCCAGGTGCTTCTCCTGGTCTCCCATGTAGGTGCAGGGCCCAAGCACTTGGGCCATCCTCCTCTGCACTCCCGGGCCACAGCAGAGAGCTGGCCTGGAAGAGGAGCAACCGGAACAGAATCCGGCGCTCTGACTGGGACTAGAACCCGGTGTGCCGGCGCTGCAGACGGAGGATTAGCCTATTGAGCCGTGGCGCCGGCTGGGATTTATTTATTTGAAACATAGAGTGATATATGTATATATATAGAGAGAGGTTGAGACAGAGAGAGAGAGTGAGTGATTTTTCATCTGCTGGTTCACTCTCCAAATGGCTGCAACAGCTAGGGCTGGGTCAGGCTGAAGCCAGGAGTCAGGAACTCTATCCAGTCTTCCATATGGATGGCAGAGACCCAAGCACTTGGATTGTCATTCACTGCTTTCCTGGGTGCGTTAGCAAGGAGTGGACTGCAAACAGAGTAGCCAGGACTTGAACTGGTGCTCCAGTATAGGATGCTGGTATCAAACCCCTCTCTCTTTTTTTTTCCTTAATGCTTCTCAAATGGAAGTAATTTTTCCTCTCTTAGAAGAAAAAAAGTATCCTGTACATGTAGAACAGCCATCCATGGACCCTGGTGTGAAAAGCATTATTTTCTTCTACTTTCTTGTATTTTTTTAGCAGTTGAATATTAATATACTGCATACATATATACATCTTCTGCCCACTGAATTGCAGATTTTTGAGAACAAGAATTCCCGGCTGCACCGTGGAGCCAGTCAGTGTCCCAGCTCTGTACGGCCCACCTGTTGTAGTGGGACGTGTTCTGTGCTTGGTCGTGGCAGGCCGAGGTGGCTGGCCTCGCTGTGGCTGGGGTGAGGCCTGTAGGCCCCGTCTAGAAGGGCACATGGTGGAAGAGCTGATACTGCTTTAGTGTCTTCCAAGCTCCCGTCACCACTTCATGGTTTTTCCTCACCGTTTTTTTTCTTCCTCTCCCGTAGGTTGTGCTTCTTGGTGAGACCCCGCATCAGGAACATGCGATACATTGCCAGTGAGTGCACTGCTGCAGCACGCGTCGCTGTGTGGCAGACCTGGGGCGACGGAGGGCAGGATTTGAGGGCTTGGTGGAAGCTCCCTTGAATGAGAAGAGGGTCTCGGGGTGGCCATAGCACTTTCAGAGGGAGGTGGCGTCCCTGCTTCCTGTGCAACAGGTGGCCCTGGCTTCGAAGGCTCTGTTCCTTCTCTCTGTAGACCTCGTCAATGCTGACAAAGTGGCTGGCCGAACTCGGAAGTACAAGGTGATCTTCAGCCCTCAGAAGGTGAGCTTAGATCCCGTGGCATGGAGTGTCAGGGACAGGCCTGGGGCTGGGCAGGGTCAGGGGCCGGGAGTGCTGTCTCCCTCAAAGCGAATTATGGTGACCGAACCACGAGCCTGCTGTTGACTTCTCTTTCTTTTCTCAAAGATTTATTCATTTATTTGAAAGAGTGAGAGAGAGACAGGGACACAGAGTGAGAGAGAGCGAGGAGGGGGGGGATTGCCTATCTGGTGGCTCACTCTCAAATGCCTGGGCCAGACTGAAACCAAGAACCCTAAACATCTGGGTCTCCTGTGTGGGTGGCAGGAACCCAAGTACTTGGGCCGTCATGGCTGCCTCAGGAGCTGCATCAGAAGCAGAGCATCCGGGACTCTGGTGTATGGTGTGGCCGCATCGCAAGCGGCACTCTAGCCTGCTGGGAACAGCATTGTTTAGCAGAGTCTTGTCAAACTGTCCCAAATAATGCACTGTGGGACTGTGCAAAGTGGCCTCTATATAGGTTTCTTTCTTTCTTTCTTTTTTTTTTTTTTAAATATTTACTTGGAAGGCAAAGTTACAGAGAGAGAGAGAGAGAGATCGAGATCTTCTGTCTGCTGGTTCACTTACCAGATGGCTGCAATGGCCAGGGCTGGGCCTGTTTGAAGCCAGGAGCCAGGAGCTTCTTCTAGGTCTCCCACATGGGTGCAGGGGCCCAATGACTTGGGCCATCCATCCTCTGCTGCTTTATCCAGGCACATTAACTGGGAGCTGGATCGGAAGTGGAGCAGCCAAGGCTCAAACCAGTGCCCATGTGGGATGCTGGCACCATAGGTGGTGGCTTCACCCTCCACACCACGGTGCTGGCCGTAGCTCTCTGTAAATGAAAAGCGTCACACTTTGGAAGTGGAACCTGCTGTGCACCCGTGCTAACACAAATCCCTGTCTGGGGTTGGTGTCCGATGGTACGGCTGATCTGTGACTCTCCCTGTATTCCCTCAATAGCAGATGGAACAAACCGTAACTCATGCCCATCCCTATGTGACCCTCCAGACGTGTGGCTGGACGGGCCCTGGGTTCCTAAAGCCACACCACCACACACTGGACAAGCCCTTTTTATTTTTAAAAACTTTTCACTGGTGCCTAATGAGTATGCATATTTATGGGGGAGGCCTTTTCTTATGCAGGGAAGCAGCTTTGAGACCAGATGCTGCACCAGCCCTGGAGCACCTGAGAGAACTGAAGCTCATGCCCACGCAGGGACTTAGCATAGGCCCCTCCCCCTCACGCCCAGGCAGGGACTTAGCATAGGCCCCTCCCCCTCACGCCCACGCAGGGACTTAGCATAGGCCCCTCCCCCTCACGCTCACACAGGGACTTAGCATAGGCCCCTCCCCGGCCCAGGATGCAGACCCGTCCCAGTGTCACCATTTCTTTTACCTCTTCTACTTGTCTGAAGGTTAACATTCTTTACCATAACACTGCATCCTAACATAAAGCCCTAATTTTATGACATTAAAAAAAAATTATTTATTTATTTGAAACGCAGAGTTACAGAGAGGAAGAGACAGAAAGATTCTCCATCCATTTGTTCACTCCCCAAATGGCTGCAAATGCTGGGTCGGGCCAAAGCCAGGAGCCTGGAACTCCATCTGGGTCTCCCACGTGGATGCAGGGGCCCAAGCACTTGGGCCATCTTCCACTGCTTCTCCAGGCCATAGCAGAGAGCTGGATGGGAAGAGGAGCAGCAGGACATGAACTGGCAGTCATAAGGGATGCTGGTGCCGCAGGCGGAGGCTTTGCCTACTGCTGGGGTGTGGAACCATTTTTCTGCCAAAGGCCATTTGGATATTTATAACTGAGGGAAATAAGCCCCCCTGAGACCACCTACTCGCCAGAGGATGGACTCAGAAACATGAAGGAAGCAGAAAGTGAGGCGTTTATTGTCCGATCTCCAGAGAGGGGAGCAGCCTGTGGGAGCGGGCGCCGCCCTCAGACACTGAGCTCCTTCTGTCCCCGCCTCGCAGAGGTCCCCGCCCTCCCCCCACTGCGTCCTGTGGTCACAGGTCACAGAATCTTTGCAGGTTGCAAAGATAACAAGTAGAACAGTGCTGGCAAAGCAAGCCCAGCAGTTGACCCCTGCAGGGTGTTTGCAGCTCTGTCCACGTGCTGCTGAGGCCTAGTATCGTGGCTGCGCTAAGGCTAAGCCAAGTCCTTTATGGAAATACACCATGGTCCTTTCTTAGAAATCATCACTCACAGGCCATGCAAAATTATTACCTTAAAAGTTAGATGGCTCTAGATTTGTTGAATTTCAAGTCCCGCCCGGGGTTGCCTTGGGAGGGCCAGGCCTGATGATTTTGTGAGCCTTGTCCTTCCCACAAGCTATACGTTCTCCATCCCTGAGGCACCGCCTCCCAGGGTGCACGTTACAGGAAGCTGGTATGCAGGGTAGAGCTGGCTTTCGGTCCAGCACCCTGATGTGAATCGTGGGTATCTCAGGCAGCATCTTAACCGTCCCGACTCCTTTTCTTGATTCCACGAAGCTCCCCGCCACCTCCACAGCAGCTGGGTGCGTCATAGGTGTCCTCAGTCTGAGATCGGAAGGAGGGTATCCAGGGCTTTGTGTTGCCAGCTGTAGGCCTATAATGTGTGTCACACTAGAGCGCACAGAAAGTGGAGATGAGGGGCCGGCGCTGTGGCGTAGCGGTAAAGCCGCCGCCTGTGGTGCCAGCATCCTGTATGGGCGGCAGTTTGAGTCCTGGCTGCTCCACTTCCGATCCAGCTCTCTGCTATGGCCTGGGAAAGCAGTAGAAGATGGCCCAAGTCCTTGGGTCCCTGCACCCACGTGGCAGACCTGTAGGAGGCTCTGGGCTCCTGGCTTTGGATCAGGACAGCTCCAGCAATTGCAGCCATTTGAGGAGTGAACCAGCAAATGGAAGACCTGCCTCCCTCCCTCTCTCTCTCTCTCTCTCTCTCTCTCTGCCTTTCAAATAAATAAATAAATCTAAAAAAAAGGCAAGAAAGTAAAGCTGAGAGAGATTTATTCCTCTTCAACTTTTTAAAGATTTATTTAATTATTTATTTATTTGAGAGGTAGAGTTACAGACAGTGAGAGGGAGAGACAGAGGGAAAGGTCTTCCTTCCATTGGTTCACCCCACAAATGTCCACTACAGTCGGAGCTACGCCAATCCAAAGCCAGGAGCCAGGTGGTTCTTCCTGGTCTCTCATGCAGGTGCAGGGCCCAAGCACTTGGGCCATCCTCCACTACCTTCCCGGGCCACAGCAGAGAGCTGGACTGGAAGAGGAGCAACTGGGACTAGAACCCAGTGCCCATATGGGATGCCGGCACTGCAGGCAGAAGATTAGCCAAGTGAGCCACAGCGCCAGCCCCCTCTTCAACTTTTCAAAAAAAATTCTAGAGGAAATAGAAACAATAGCTGAAAGTAGACCCTGGGCTGGAACTATGGCAGGGTAGTAGGCTAAGCCTCTGCCTGCCACTCCGGCATCCCATATGGGTGCCGGTTTGTGTCCTGGTTGCTCCTCTTCTGATCCAGCTCTCTGCTAATGGCCTAGGAAAGCAGCAGTGGATGGCCCAAGTGCTTGAGCCCCTGCCTCCGCATGGGAGACTGGAAGATATCTTCCATCCACTGGTTCACTCCCCAGAAGGCTGCAGCAGCCAGAGCTGGGCCAGTCTGAAGCAAGGAGCCAGAAGCTTCTTCCAGGTCTCCCACATGGATTCAGGGGCACAAGTACTTGGGCCATCTTCTGCTTTCTCAGGCATGTTAGCAGGGAGCTGGATTGAGACTGGAGCAGCCGGGACTTGAACCGGCGCCCACGTGGGATGCCAGTGCTGCAGAAGGTGGCTTTACAAGCTACGCCACAGCTCTGGCCCTGCCACTGTCTTGCTTTGTCTGCGTCTGTCTTCACCCTTGTCTACCCCCTTTTAAACACACTCTGCCTTCCTCTCTCTCCGCTTAGGTTCACCCTTCCTTCATGGCCAGACTCCTGTGTACAATGACTGCTTCCTCTAGTCTCCCTAAGATCCCTGCTTGAACCCAGTGGTGTCTCCTTAGTGCTCACCTGACTTGAGTTCTCCGGCTGGCGTGTGGCACGGTTCCCATTCTTCTTTGGCAGTCTTCTCTCCCCTGCCTGGTTCTGTCTTCTGCTGTGGCCTATCTGAGCATTCCTTCTCAGTCCTCTCTGCCAGGCCTTGCCCTCTGTGTCTGCGTTTTGTGATGGGTCATTGACTCCCAAGGCCATTCACAGGATCTTCAAAAAGCTCACGGAAGGGCTGGCCTTATGGGTTAAGCCCCTGCCCGCAGTGCCAGCATCCCATATAGAGGCTGGTTCCAGTCCTGGCTGCTCTACTTCCAATCCAGCTCCCTACTCATGTGCTTGGGAAATGCAGCAGAAGATGGCCTGTGTGCTTGGGCCCTTGCCACTCACTTGAGAGACCTGGATGGAATTCCAGGCTCTTGGCCTTGGCCTGGCCCAGCCCTGCTGTCGTGGCCATTTGGAGAGTAAACCAGTGAATGGAAGATCTTGTTTTTCATTTTCTTTCTGTCTCTCCTTCTCTTTCTCCGTAACTGCCTTTCAAATAATGAAATAAATATATTTTTTAAAGATTTATTTATTTATTTCAAAGTCAGGGTTACAGAGAGAGAGAAGGAGAGAGAGAGACAAGTCTTCCATCTGCTGGTTCACTCCCCAGTTGGCCGCAACAGCTGGAGTTGCACCGATCCGGAGCTAGGAATGAGGAGCTTCCTCCAGGTCTCCCACATGGGTGCAGGGGCCCAAGGATTTGGGCCATCTTCTACTGCCTTCCCAGGCCATAGCAGAGAGCTGAATTGGAAGTGGAACAGCTGGGACTAGAACCGGTGCCCATATGGGATGCCAATACTGCAGGCCGCGGCTTCACCTGCTGCACCACAACGCCGGCCCCAAGAAATAAATCTTAAAAAAAAAAAAAAAAGTTCACAGAGGGAGGGTGTTATCTTCCTATACTGGAGCGGCTGGGTTCAATTTTAAGTATGGCTCTGGGGGCTGGTGCTGTGGCGCAGCGGGTTAATACCCTTGCCTGAAGTGCCGGCATCCCATATGGGCGCCGGTTCAAGATCCAGCTGCTCCATTTCTGATCCAGCTCTCTGCTGTGGCCTGGGAAGGCAGTGGAAGATGGCCCGAGTACTTGGGCCCCTGCACCTGCATGGGAGACCCGGAAGAAGCTCCTGGCTCCTGGCTTCGGATTGGCACAGTTCTGGCCGTTGCAGCTAATTGGGGAGTGAACCATCAGATGGAAGACCTCTCTCTCTGCCTCTCCTCTCTCTGTGTAACTCTGACTTTCAAATAAACAAATCTTTAAAATTAATTAATTAATTAATTAAGTGTGGCTCTGACTCCAGCTTCCTCCTGATGTGCCGCGGGGAGGCAGTGATGATTGCTTGAGTGATTGGGTCCCTGCTACTCATGGGAGAGCCCTGGGTTGTGTTCCTGGTTCCTGCTTTTAGCCCCAACCTAGCCCCTGTCATTGGAGCCATATGGGGAATGAACTAGTGGATAGGGACTCTTCTCTCTGCCTCTCAAATGAATAAATAAAAAATTTTTAAAAGTCCACGGAAAATGCACATCATGAAAAAACTAAGCATGAATTTCAAACATTTTGGCACCGTAGTGCATTTGTCTTTTAATTCCATTTTCCACAAACTTTGGATTTTTTAGAAATGAAATAATTAATGTATTTGAGAGGCAGAGGGAGCTCTTACCTGCCTTTTCACTTACCAAATGCCTGCAAGGCCCTAGGCCGGGCCGAGGCCAGAGCCCCGGGGAGCCTGAACTCAATGCAGGTCTCCCATGTGGGTGGCAGGAACCCCGTCACTTGAGCCGTCACCGCTGCTTCCCAGGCCTGCATTAGCAGGAAGCTGGAGGCAGGAGCCAGAGTCAGGGATTGAACTCGGGCACTGGGAGGTGGGACACAAGCACTGTTACCGCCAGGCCAAATGCACCCCAGCCCCTGTACACTTTTTAAAGTGCTCTGTCCCTCCACCTCTCAGTGTCTCCAGAGGCCCAAACAGCTCAGTCTCTGCCCTCCACTGCTTGTTCCCTTTTGCCTCTCCTCCGTGATTTCAGGGCACCGTCAGGCCGTTCCTCCCTCCTCTGCCTGCAACACTTCACCCTCCTCCTGTGCAAGGCTCTTCCCGTCCCTCCGAGAGATCAAAAAGCAATTGCCTTAGTGTGTGCATAAAACGCATGCAAAGGAGTGTGGGTGTGGGGCCTGCGGTGGTCCTTTCTGGACTGCAGTCTCACTGGCCGCGTTCAGTAACGCTGTGCTGTCTGTGTCAGTGGCTGTGGGGCAGCTCCGGCGGCACGGGAAGAATGAAGAAGCCGATGGCTGCTCATCAGCGTCCTTTTCTCTTTCAGTTTTACGCGTGTGAGATGGTGTTGGAGGAAGAGGGGATCTATGGAGGTGAGAGGAGATGAACGTGAGTGGAAGGGAGAGGGGAGAACGGCGGAGCCTGTACCCGTGGCTCCGACAGGAGTCATGGGAGGGCTGAAAGGGATGCTCCGTTCTCGCCCTCCAAGGCTCCTGCTGGGGCGGTTGGGCCTCCCCTCCCTGCAGGAAGTTCATGGGAAAGTGGGAAGCGAAGTTTGTTTTGGTGCAGACAATCTTGGCATCTGTGCATAGTCTTTTCCCTAACTTGCATTTTATTTTATTCATTTATTTATTGAAAGGCAAAGAGACTGAGAATCGTCTGTCTGCCAGTTCACTCCTCAAATGCTTGCAACAGCCAGGGCTGAGCCAGGCTGAAGCCAGGTCTCCCTTGTGTGTGGCAGGGACCCACCTGCTGCCTCCTGGAGCTGGGAGCAGAGCTGGGTCTCAAACCCAGGGGCCCTCTGATGTGAGATGCGAGCATCCCCAGTGGGGTCACCTCTGCGCCACACGCCTGCCTCCATCTCAGCATTTGCCGTGAACTTTCTGCACAGTCCCTACCCTATTCTCCAGGACACCCCAACCAGACCATGGCACCCTGGCGTGGCTCGGCAGAGAGCCCAGAACCATTAGCAGGGCCTCCCGTGCCATGCACAGTTGGACCCCCTGTCTCTGTAGCCTCACCAGGTGCTGGTCCTTTGCCCTGACACGCTGGCCTCCCACCACTGGGACTGGGCACACGCTTTTCCTGTGGCCTGGAATCCTCTCCACCCTACAACATTTTGCCTCCCCAAATCTTAACTCACATTCTAAGCTTAATTGTCACTTTTGAGGGAAGTCTCTTCCATACCCCTAGATGTGGTTCACTTCCTCTAACACTTGTGCCTCGTGTGTGCTGTTTTACCTCTTTGGAGCACAGCTGTAATCAAGGAGTTTGTGTCAGGCTGGCACCGCGGCTCACTTGGCTAATCCTCCTCCTGCGGTGCCGGCACCCCGGGTTCTAGTCCCTGTTGGGGCGCCAGATTCTGTCCCGGTTGCTCCTCTTCCAGTCTAGCTCTCTGCTGTGGCCCGGGAAGGTAGTGGAGGATGGCCCAGGTGCTTGGGCCCTGCACCCCATGGGAGACCAGGAGGAAGCACCTGGCTCCTGGCTTCGGATCGGTGCAGCGCGCCAGCCGTAGCAGCCATTTGGGGGGGGTGAACCAACGGAAGGAAGACCTTTCTCTCTCTCTGTCTCTCTGTGTCTAACTCTGCCTGTCCAAAAAAAAAAAAAAAAAAGGAGTTTGTGTCATAGTTTGTCTCCCAAACTAGATGATAAGCTGCCGACGATGGGAGCGTGTGCACTTGGCTCACCCCGGGCCCCCAGCGTGCGTGGTCCTACCTTAGGTGGCCTGTTAGATTGTCAGCCGTTGGCCAGCACTGCAGCACCACGCACAGCACGCGGTACATTGCGTCACAGGCTGCTGTGTGCGTGCCTGCTTTCATCACCAGACTGTGCGCAGGGACTGTGTTCTGCCCTTCCTTGAGTCTCCCGTGGCAGATGCGGCGCCGGCGGTGGCAGGCGCTCGCGTGTCTGTTGCCTGATCCTGGCACTCCTTGCCTCTTGATGGGGAGCTCACAGCCTCCCGCGGGGCGGCTGATGCTTTGTCCCCACAGATGTGAGCTGTGATGAATGGGCCTTCTCTTTGCTGCCTCTTGATGTGGATCTGCTGAGCATGGAGCTGCCAGAATTTTTCAGGGACTACTTCCTGGTAAATGAGGGTCTGTGTATCTTGGTATCAAGGGTTAGGGACAAACGGGGGGTCCAGTGGGCTAGAAATACTAATTAACCTCTGTGCAACACACGGTCACAAATGATAGTGGTTTGGGGACTGAAGACTACAGGTTCATCTCCATGAGCCCCTTCGGGGCCACAGTGGGCCGGGCCGGGTTTCCCCACATTCTGCAGTTCCCTTCCAGGTGTCTGGGGCTGCCGCCTCTCCAGCTTAGGCACCTCAGGTTGATCCCCATCCCTGCAGGAAGGAGACCAGCGCTGGATCAACACCGTGGCTCAGGCTTTGCATCTTCTCAGCACCCTCTATGGGCCCTTTCCCAACTGCTATGGCATTGGCCGGTGTGCCAAGGTAAGAGCGCCAGCCGCACTGTTGCCCAGTAGCCTGTCCCCCTGCTCTGAATCGGCCTGTGATCACCCAGGGGCAGCTGGGATAGGGTGCTCATTCTTCACTTCCCTTCAGTTGTTCCAGAAGAGTCGCTCAGGGAGGAGCGCTCTGTAGCCAGCAGAAAGGGCCAGGGCCTCCTGTGCAACATTCCCAAGTCTCCTTTTCGTGGGGACAGGGCCTTTGAATCCTGGTGTCAAGGGATGGGGACACACGTGGGGCCCAGTGGGCTGGAAGTATGTCGGTACCTGATGTTGGCTTCTTCCTCCCTCACTGGTTTGGGGTGGGTAGAACAGGTTCGTATTGCTCACAGTTGCCTCCCCTCCCAGGGGTGAGAAGTATCGATATGGGAGCGGTTGGCTTCTGTAGGTGTGGGGCTGCAGCCGGGACCAGCACACAAGATTGAGAATGTCTTGGGCCCTGGCAGATGTCCTATGAATTATGGAGGCAACTGGAAGAGGAAGAAGATGGTGAAACCAAGGGCCGAAGGCCAGAAATTGGGCATATATTTCTGCTGGACAGAGGTAAATTGGGCCAGCACTCCTCTCATCTTTCCCTGGAAGGCTCGGGAACATGGGCCTCGTGGTGCAAAGTTAGGATCCTGAAGTCAGGGCTGTGAATCCCAGTGTTGATGAGGAATGTGGCTCGGGTCCTTTGGAAAGTAGCTGAGCTGATCTAGAGCAAGCCGGGTGGAAGGCCAGCCAGCCTGTGCCTTCACGGTCAGGATGTTGGTTTCAGACGTGGACTTTGTCACGGCGCTTTGCTCCCAAGTGGTTTACGAGGGCCTGGTGGACGACACCTTCCGCATCAAATGTGGTGAGTGCCGTGGCAAGGTGCACGCTGGGTAGGGCTTGTCGGGGGACTGAGGGCACGGCTGCTTCCTAGTCCTTGGGGAGATCTTTGCTGGCATTCGGCCAGGGTAGGAGAAGGCCTTGTTGGTGACCCCGATGCCCTTCCCTCCGTCCTCAAAGGGAGTGTCGACTTTGGCCCTGAAGTCACATCCTCGGACAAGAGCCTGAAGGTGTTGCTCAATGCTGAGGACAAGGTGCGGACTGGGCCCCGGCTCTGGGAAGGCGAGCGTCCCCTGGGCACAGAGTAGGCCCTGGACGTGGACCTGTTGATCCTGCACGTCTGGAGCACGGCCTGTGCCATCGTCGCCATGCTGATGAGGTGGGAAGGAGCAGGTTACGGTTCTGACCTCGTAAGCGCGCCTGTCTTGTTCCCCGCACAGGTGTTCAGTGAGATCCGTAACGAGCACTTCTCCAATGTCTTTGGCTTCCTGAGCCAGAAGGCCCGGAACCTGCAGGCCCAGTATGATGTGAGGCTCCAAGCCTCAGTGGCTCCCCTTCTGACCCTGGGCCAGCGTGTCTCAGAGTGGGCGGCAGCAGAGGGCGGGTGGTTTCTCGTGCCTGGGGTCCCAGGAGTTGACCCTAGGGGCGTCTCCCACAGCGCCGGCGCGGGATGGACATTAAGCAGATGAAGAATTTCGTGTCCCGCGAGCTCAAGGGGCTGAAGCAGGAGCACCGCCTGCTGAGTCTCCGTAGGTTCCCGCTGGGGCTGGGGGCCTCTGGGGAAGCGACCCTGCAGCTTCTTCCCGCCCCTTCGGCTGTGGGGGACCCTTCTCGCTCATCTGGCGAGTGGCGGTGGTATCGGGTCTGATGCGGGAGGTCTTATTCTTGTGGGCTTCTGTCTAGAACCAGGGACAGTCAGCTCCCTTTCGGTCTTACCCGCAGACATTGGGGCCTGTGAGTCGATCATGAAGAAGAAAACCAAGCAGGACTTCCAGGAGCTGATCAAGACGGAGCACGGTACCTGCAGCAGCCTGCTGGCTCAGGCCCCAGCCCCTCGGCTCCCCACCCCAACAGGACCCTGTCCGGCCCTTTCCTGCCGACACTGGCTCTGTGCAGTGCTGGCTGATGCCAGAAGTCGTGGGGCCCCTGGGCCCACCCCAGGGTTGGGGAAAGGTGGGGAGAGAGGTGCGTGTTAGCACGATGACATCAGGCTCTCCTCTGACGATTCCCAGCACTGCTGGAGGGGTTCAACATCCGGGAGGGCACCAGCTACATCGAAGAACACATAGACCGGCAGGTGAGCGGCCGGGGCGGGGGGCGGGGAGCGGCGGCCTGCAGCAGAAGGGACAGAGGGGTGTGTGTTTTGAAACCTCAGTTCTGGACTGTTCTTCCTCCGCAGGTGTCACCTATAGAAAGCCTGCGCCTCATGTGCCTCTTGTCCATCACCGAGAACGGTGAGCCCCAAAGACCGGAGCTGACGGTGCCAGGTTGAGACCCTGTGCCTTGGGGACGGAGGACGTAATTTCCAAAGACAAGTATCTCAGCAAACAGAATGTTGCCCCGTCATTTCGGGACTCTTCTTCCTGTAAAGTTAAGCAGCTTTTGTTTTGGGTGAACCCTCACGGGGCCATAGGGTGATTTCTTGCCCCACCCTAAGCAGGAGCATGTAGAGGCCACCCCAGGATGCGAGGTGTCAGCTGAGTGCCATGTCCCCCTCACCCCGTCCACGGCCCGCCTTCAACAAGCTTTCATGATCAAGGGCTTCCTAGAGCCACGGCAGCTCGCTTCCTAACGACAGACTTGGCAGCCTGCCGTGGCGGCTGGTTTACTGCTCCAGCTTCCAGCGGGTGACTCTCCTTAGAGCCTGCGTTCCTCCCAGGGAGTGCGTCGTTCGCTTAAGTTTCCTTTGTTGTAGTCGGAAGCCCAGTTCCCACCTCTGCGGAGGAAAACGCACGCGTGGGAACTCATTGAACACTTCCTGTGTGGCCGCAGCTGCAAAGCAGTTTCCAGTAGAACTGCTCTTTAGCCAGCAGGAAACGCGTGAGAGGTCCCTTCTTCCGCATGGTTTGCAGGAGCTCCAGCGTGCCTTCCTCGGCCGCCTGCTGACCGAGGGGTCAGGTGCGGGATTCTCTGCGCTGCGCATTTCAGGGCCCCCGCCCAGGTGGCCTCCTCTTTATACACCTGTCTCTCTGTCCTCGCCCTTAGGTTTGATCCCCAAGGATTACCGGTCTCTGAAAACACAGTATCTGCAGGTAAGGCCTGGAGGTGTACTGCGGAAGGAACGTGGTGGAGGGCGGTCACTGGGCAGTCTTGGAAGAGTTGGAAGAAGTCACGGCCTCATCACTGTCCTGCCTGCACTGCGGCCTCCCTCTTAGAGCCCCGCTCTGCCCAGCCCGTGTGCCCCAGCTCCTCTCGCGGCAGGCAGCCAGTGCCGAGAGAATGTCCACAGTTGTCTGTTGAACCCAGGGACGGGTTCCTTCCCCTGGGGCCCTCCGTCATTTCAGCGCATTCATTCGGCTTTCCTTCTTGGTCCCTGTGAAATGTGCCTTCCTCCAGGAAGCCCTCCACCCCCCGTACAGCCACAGCGCTGGGCTGCTTTTTAGCCTCCTGTGCTTGGTGTCGGGTTGTTTCTGACGTGAAAATCCTTCCCACCACAAGCTGGGAGCCCCTTCAGGCAGACCCCGGGTGGCACTTCCGCCCTTGCCTCGTGTAGTGGCCGTGCTTGACCCTTGGAGGCCACTCACTAAATAGCTGGGCTCTGTTCCCTCTAGAGCTATGGCCCTGAGCACCTGCTGACCTTCTCCAATCTGCGGCGAGCTGGGCTCCTAACAGAGCAGGCCCCAGGGGACACGCTCACAGCCGTGGAGAGTAAAGTGAGCAAGCTGGTGACCGACAAGGCTGCCGGTGAGCGCGCAGCACAGGTGACCCCATCCCCCACTGCCGACAGGCGCATGCTCTGGGAGGAGAGAGGACTGAGCCCTCCGATGCTGCCATCACGCCCCCTCCTCTGCTAGCCAGGCCGGTGCCCGTACACTGAACACCTAGACGCCCCGAGTCCTTTCTTTACGTAACAGTTTCGCTTTTAATCTTTAAAGAGGCAAATTCCCTTATTCCTGTTTTACAGATGAGGAAACTCAGGCTTGGAGAATTTTTAGCAAAGGCTGATTTATTTATTTGAAAGGCAGGAACCTGGGTTGGAAGCAGCACTCCAGTATGGGTGCTGGCGTCACAGGCAGCGGCTTAACCCACCGCACAACGCTGGCTCCCAGGCTTAGAGAAATTAAGCAGCTTGTTCCTGGTCCCTCACGTAGGTCTGTTCGACTCCAAAGCTCGTACTGGGCCAGTAAACGAGGGCCAGCTTGCAGCCTGCATTAGCGGGTAGCTGGGGTGGGGGAAGGCTGGTTTGTCGGCTGGTTCGTCTTGATCAGTTCCAGGCAATGGTAGGTGAATGGTGTCAAGGGGGCTCTTTGGATGTGGTTGGTCCTGTCATGTCCCGAATGGGGTCGCCTCTGGCAGTGTCCTAAATTCATAGACGTTAGACAGAACCTAAGCCACTGTTTCTTTCCCAGGAAAGATTACCGATGCCTTCAGTTCTCTGGCAAAGAGGAGCAATTTCCGAGCCATCAGCAAAAAACTGAATTTGGTATGTGGACTGGGGCTGGATAGGGGAGGCCATGGTTCGTGCCTTGTTACTGTAAAACCTTTTAGAGAGATTTTCTGTCGGCTGGTTCACTCCCTAAATGGCTGCAATAGCCAGTGCTGGGCCAGGCCAAAGCCAAGAGCCAGGAACTCCTTCTGGGTCTCCCATGTAGGTGACAGGGGCCCAAGCCCTTGGGTGATCATCTGCTGTCTTCCCAGGCGCATCAGCGGGGAGCTGGATCAGAAGCGCAGAGTAGCCAGGACTCAAACCACGCATGTGGGATGTGGGCTTCCCAAGCAGCGGCTTAACCTGCCGCGCCACAGTGCCCCCAGCTCGTTTCATGTTGCAATGAAGGTCCTTTTTTTGGGGTAACCTTAAAGTATGAGATTTAATAATTCAATAATGAGACAAGGCATAAAATTCCGTTCATTTAACAAACACGTAACAAGCACCTGCCGATGCCAGAGGATCCTCTTGGGTGCTGCTTGGATGGTGGCCGTGTCCCATGTCCCGCAGGGCCCCTTGGGGACCGCAGGGGCTGGACAGTAGCCGTCATGGTTGTGGACTCCTACACAGGGCTGTTGCCGGTTCTCCCTCTAGTAGGGATAAGACCTGTTCGTTGGGATGTGCCATTTTATCTGACCCTTTAAAGGAGCAGAGCTGAGTCGTGCCTTCCTAATGTGCCTTGGCCACCAGATCCCACGTGTGGATGGCGAGTACGACCTGAAGGTGCCCCGGGACATGGCGTACGTCTTCAGTGGAGCTTACGTGCCCCTGAGCTGCCGGATCGTGGAGCTGGTGAGGACACGCCGCCCTCGCCCGTGCACGTTCACCCTCTGCTTTTTCTTGGTCCCTGGCCCATCCCAGATTTTCCTTCTTGAGTAGCTGGCAGGGGACGTGGCAGGCTGGCTGCTGCCCGCGCTTGCCTCCCCGAGCCCGCTGCTGGCTGCACACTCGAGCCCAGGGCTCCACCTTCCCAGGTGCTGGAGCGGCGAAGCTGGCAGGGCCTGGATGAGGTGGTGCGGCTGCTGAACTGCAGCGAGTGTGCCTTCACAGGTAGGGGGCGCTGCCGAGCGGGGCCGGGCGGCGGCGAGGGGCGGCCTGGCCCGCAGGTCTGCGGGAGCTGAGTGGGCTGCTCCTCGCAGACATGGCCAAGGAGGACAAGGCTTCCAGCGAGTCCCTGCGCCTCATCTTGGTGGTGTTCTTAGGAGGCTGCACGTTCTCTGAGATCTCGGCCCTCCGCTTCCTGGGCAGAGAGAAAGGTAAGAGGGGGCAGGGATGGGGAGACCAGGCCTGCCTGCAGTCTGGGGCTGGAGTGCGCCGGCCAGGGAGCTTTGCTGCTGGCCTCTGGGGGCCTTGCAGCAGGCTGCCACGGCAGGGCGCTTGGCAAGTCGTGGCACTGGAAGCCGGGTGTGATGTCTGTCTGCACTGGGGCTCTCCTCCGGCTCCCGCTGGGGGCCTGGGGTCTGCTTCTAGTCTCCTCCGCCGCTGCCTTGCCTCCGCAGGGTACAGGTTCATTTTCCTGACGACAGCAGTCACCAACAGCGCCCGCCTTATGGAGGCCATGAGCGAGGTGAAGGCCTGAAGTCTCCGGGGACACGCTCCCCAGCTCGCTGCCGCCGCCTGCTCAGAGTGGGCCAGCCCGGCCACGCCGGGGACTTGGAGCGCCGAGCTTCCGGCCTGCGCCCGGGACCTTCCTCCTGTGTTCAGGGTGTACAGCCCATGCTGCTAAGATCTGAGGGGCAGAGGTAGCCTTTGCTAAATCCTGTGTGAATATCACTGTAAATAAAGCCTCTGCTCTCAAACGTGGTATCCCTGTGGTTCCGGGCGTGCACTCCTGCCTTGACTAGCCGAGGTACGGTAGGCTGTCCACAGGGACCCCACGTGCCTCACGGCCTGGACGCTGCGGTCCCCCTGGGCCTGACCGGGTCCTTCCTTGGAAGAGTCACCAAAATGCCCTGTGCCAGTTCCTCCACCATCCAGTGCAGGAGGTGGATTCGCTGGCCTACGGACACCCTTCCAGTGCCAAATGCTGTGATCTGTTATGCTTTATGGAAAGTGCAAAGCACATCCCACATAGGGTGCCGGCGCCGCACCAGCCCTGATTCCTGTTTTCTTCAAGTCCTAGTCAGTTTTGTTTTTTTTTTTCAATATTTATTTTTATTTATTTGAAAGGCACAGTTACAGAGAGAGAGGGAGAGACAGAGAGATCCTCCATCTGCTGGTTCACTCTCCAAATACCTGCAATGTCTAGGGCCAGGGCAAGACTGAAGCCAGGAGCCAGGAGCTGCTTCTGGGTCTTCCACAGGGATGGCAGGAGCTCACGCACCTGAGCCATCTTCCGCCGCTTTTCCAGGCACGTTAGCCAGGAGCTGTGCCGGAAGTGAAGCAGCCGGGACTTGAACCGGCACCTATGTGGGATGCCAACATCGCGGGCAGTGGCTTTACCCGCAGTGCTGCAGCGTTGGGCCCCCATAGTCAGCCTTCATGAAATTCCCTGTCCTACAGTGCTTTGTCCCCTTGTCTCCGCCTGCCCGGGTGTTGCTGTGTCCCCTCTCTGTCCTCTCTCGTCCACTTCTAGGCCTCAGGCTTTCCTCTCACTCCTGGAGTTCACTAGTGTTGTGCGCCTGGGCCTGCCACCCAGTCAGCCTGCCTGAGAAAGCTCAGTCGGAGTCCGCCGTCCCTTTCACACTCCTACGCCTGCTCCTCCTCCCGGTTCCTCTCACTGACACTTTCACCTGCCCAGACTCTGTTCCTGCAAGAAATTATATCCTTGACCCCGGATTTTTTCCATTTGTTGCCCACATTTGGCCAGCCCCTGTGCCACCGCAGTGCCCCTGGCTCATCCTGTCTCACCATCTTGCTGGGTTTTGACAAGACTCTCCCTCCCTGCTCCAGCCTGCTTCCTTCCCCACCCCGCAGTGCCGCCACGTGCCAGGAGAGAGAAAACGAAAACCTGGGTTACTGGGGCACCACCCACGGAAGATGATGCGTGGTGGAGCCTTTTCCAGGGAAAAGGTGTGTCTTGGCTTTGCAGCCAGATTGTTGATGGTGTTAGATCAAGCCAGTGCGCAAGGGCAGTGACACTGCCGACAGGGAGTTGGTGGCATCCAGAACACCTTCCACGGCCATGGAGGTAGACCGTGGCCACGCACTGTGCTCACGCTCTAGAACAGCCCCGTCCAGCACGCGCACGGCAGCGTTTCACCTGCTGAGTGCAGGCTCGGCCTGGATGTCTTTGCCATGGTTCCGACCTGATTAGCTGCAGACTGGTGTTAAGGACATGATAGCAAAGTTGCTTATCTCTGAAGACTTAACTATACTGGCCCTGAGACCATGTCTGAAGGCAGAATTTTGAAGTTCTCTGAACAACCTGCTGTCTATTCTACTGAACAGAAAACGCGCCGGTGCTCCTGCCATGTCAGCGGACGGGCGCCTGGCCTGCTGCGGGCAAGGCTGGGACGGTGCAAGCACGGGTGAAATGTCTGATGGACACAGAGTGTAAGGACACAGAAGCAAACAAGCATCTTTTGTCTTCAGGGAAAACACAGATGAAGAGAATTCATAGAAGTTCTAGTTGGCCAATAAACACGTGAAAAATGCGCAAGTTCAGTTACAATCAAATAAGCGCAAATCAAACACGGCAATGCCTTTAAAAAATTTTTTTTCAGATTTATTTATTTGAAAGAGTAACAGAGAGAGAGAGAGAATTTTCCATCCAGTGGTTCACTTCCCAAATGGCCACAACAGCCAAGGCTGGGCCAGGCTGAAGCCAGGAGCGTGGAACTTCATCTGGGTCTCCCACGTGGATGGCGGGGCCCCAAGGACTTGGGCCACCTTCTGCTTTCCCAGGCCATAGCAGAGAGCTGGATTGGAAGAGGAGCAGCGAGGACTCGAACCAGCGCCCATATGGGATGCTGGTGCTTCAGGCCCCCAGAGTGCACATTTGAGTCCAGGCTCTGCTTCTGATCCAGGTTCCTGCTAACGCACCTGGGAAGGCAGTGATCAGTCCCAGCTACTGAGGGTACCTGAGGAGTGAACCAGCGGCTGTAAGATCTCTCTCTGTCTCTCCCTCTCCCTATAACTGCCTTCCAAATAAATAAATCTCAAAACTAAATTGCATAAAATAATTACGATGTAAGTATCAATAGCAAAATAGTTGGATTATGAAATAGCCACATGCCAAGATACTTAGGGAAACTGACGTATAGGCATTTAGGGATGTAGTCTGTGTTCTTCAGAAATGGAAGGTACAAAAGTATGGTGATACTGGTTTTGTTGTGAATTTTTTGCATGTAACAATTATACGAGACTACAAAAAGTTTGTAGAATGTGGACTTATAAGTTTATTCTGGTGCAAAAAATTGTTAGAAAATATGTATTTTTTTTTTCATAATACACATCTGTGAACTCCCCAAAACTTTCTGAATCCTTTTTATTTTTACTCATTCGAAAGGCAGAGTAGAGGTAGAGGGAGACAGATCTTCCATTCACGGGTTCACTCCACAGAAGCCCACAACAGCTAAGACCAGGCCAGGCCAAAGCTGGAAGCCTGGAACCCCACCCGGGGCTCCCACATGGGGGCAGGGACCAGACTGCTTGAGCCAACCTGCTGTTTTCAGGGTGGCACTAACCGGACGCTCATGTGGGCAGAGCTGGGACTGGGGTCCAGTCACTCAAGATGGGGTGTTGGCTTAACGCCCGCACCTGCGTTCGCCTTTTCAGTCCATTTCCCACGAACTTTGTGTCACGTAACCAAAATGAGTACATTGCCTGCAGCCACCTAAAGGCAAAAATAAGTAAAATAAGGGAGTCCCGAGGGAGCTCAAACCTAACTCCCCGTCAGCCCGCTTAACGCTGCCACGTTTTCAGTAGCTCTCCTAAGGCAGGGGCTGTGGTGGGCGGCGGGGCGGGGGAAGCAGAAGGGACTTCTGACTAGTGACTTTGGTTCCTCTGTCCAGCAGAGTTACGTGCGATAACCAGAGTGGAAGGGACGTGCTCCTCCCCTCCCCTTCCGGATGCGGTTTCCTACATCTGGGCAAGATTCCATCAAGGATCAGTTCCCAGGTCTTCCGGAGAGACCAGGGAAACAGGATTTTCCAATAGGTCACCTCCGCCGCCCGCCGGCGGCAGGTAGCCACGGGGCATAGCGCTCTCGCAGGCTGCAGCCCGGACCCGGGGCTCGGAGGACGCCGGGACGGCGCCGGGCGCACGCGCAGTGACCTCAGACCCCGCCCCGAGCCCTGGCGCGGGTTCACGATTGCGCATTGGCGGCTCCACGCCGCGGGGCGGGGCGGGGGCGGGGCTTCGCGAGGAGCCGCGGGCTGCGGCGCCAATCGCCGGGCCGCCCCGCCTCACGTCTGGGTTTGAAATTCCGCGGGGCTCAACGGCTCTCAGAGTGGCGACTCGGAGCGAGGTTGCCGGTGTTGCCTGCGCTCGGGCTGTGGTGGAGTCGGCCGGGGCCTCGACGCCAGGCTGCGTGGAGCGTCCGCCATGAGTGGGAGGTGCGAGTTGCGGGACGGTCGGAAGGGCTGGGAGGGAGCGACGCCGGGCGCGGGTCCGTGGGCCGGTGCCACGTCCGACGGACGCTTTCGGCCCCGGAGTAGGGGTCCCCTCGGTCCGCTCGACTGCGGTCGGGGGGCTGCGCGGCGGGGCAGGGCGAGCCGGCTGCAAGTGCGGGGCGCGGCGGGGTTCACGTGTGCGTGGACGGGGAGACGGCGAGCCCGAGGCTGGAATTTCCTGGTCGTTCCAGCAGCTCCGCAGGCGGGGCTGGCCGGGAGCGGGGGTCCCCTGGAACCGGTCCGCAGGCGGGGCTGGCCGGGAGCGGGGGTCCCCTGGAACCGGTCCGCAGGCGGGGCTGGCCGGGAGCGGGGGTCCCCTGAAACCGGTCCGCAGGCGGGGCTGGCCGGGAGCGGGGGTCCCCTGAAACCGGTCCGCAGGCGGGGCTGGCCGGGAGCGAGGGTCCCCTGGAAACTGGCCGGGAGGGAGGGTGCCCTGAAACCGGGCCCGGCGGCTGAGCCTTGTGCCAGGGCAGAGGCGGAACGCAGGTCTTCTCGCTACCAAAATGATAATATCCGTGCGTGGACCAAGTGCTGACTGTACTTTCTGAAGACAGTGGCAGAAGCCTTAAATTCAGCATTAAATAATCAAACTGGTAGCTCTACGGCCTTTTCTGATTGCTAAACGGATCCGTGTTTTTCCAAATGCTTGCCCTGTTGGAGAATAGAATCGGGTAGAAATTACCGGTGCTACCGAAGGACAGCAGGGTTAGGGTGCTGTGGGTTTAAGCTAGTGATGGAGTCTTGATTGACATCCATAGGAAAGGCTTACTCGCAGTCCAGGTACAGTTACAGGCTGTTCAGGGGCAGGTGAAGGGGGTGGGGAGAGTTATCCATTAACTTTGGTTCCAGGCTGACGGGTGTAATTAGACTTTAAACTGGAATCACTCTACTAAACAAGCCAGATTTGGGGGTACATCTGGATTTCAGGTAATCATATATACTTTTTTAATTTGCAAGGCCGAGAGAGAGATCAATCCTACCTGCTGGTTCACTCTCCAGTGCCCACAACACCAGGGCTAGGTGGAAACCAGGAGCTGGAGTCATCCAGGTCCCACCTGGGTGGCAGGAGGCCATGACCACTGCCCAGGGTCTTCGTGAGCAGAAAGCTGGAACAGGGGAGCAGACTTATATGGGAAGCAGGCAGTTTTCCTCCTCACTTGAAAGACAGAGAGAGAAGGGGACAGAGACTGGTTCACCCCCAAAATGCCTGCCACAGCTGGGGCTGGGCCGGGCTGAAGCCAGGA